AGGTGAGGCTCTGCACTTGTGGTGTTCTACATTTTAATAGGTTGAAGTGCTAATTTTAACAATTAAAGATCCCTACATGGAATAAACGAAACACTAGATTTAAACCTTTGATAAATATCAGGTAAATGTGTTTCCAGCCTCGGTGGTGGGACCTTCCTGGGCCTGTGCTGCCTTCTCACCGGCTGCTCCACCTTCGAGGAAGCCCTAGAGATGGCTTCTCAGGGGGAGAGCACGCGTGTGGACAAGCTGGTCCGGGACATCTATGGAGGAGACTACGAGAGGTTTGGACTGCCAGGCTGGGCTGTGGCCTCAAGGTGCGGTTTGCAGCTGCTGCTGCTGTTCCTGTTGTTGGCAACAAGCCTGTTTGTGGTGGATTTTACCATCAGAGGGACTTCTAAGCATCGTTATATTTGGTTTAATCTGTGAATAAAACAACAGTTTGGAGACTTAACATCTTATAGTCGCCCTTAGTGAGTACTAAAGATCAACCGATGAAGGATTTTACATTTTTTTCCAGGATGATCCAATGCAGATCATAGTCACGTCATTTGAACCAGTGTCAGATATGTGTTGCTGATTTTAATTTTTTAAGTGGGGGAAGCGGTTTTTGAGAGCGGCGTTCCTTTTTCCTCCATTTACATGATTAAAATCGCACAATGTTGAAAAGAAAATTACACAAGCCTCAATTTGACGAAAAAGAAACCTGTTTGAGTGAATTACTTTGTCTTTAATTATTTGTTTGCAATTAATCCAATTTTAATTTAAAACCATAGATTGTTCAACTCTATAACTCTTTTTGCTCCTAAATTGAATAAGTAAACCAGTGACTCTTTATTTGATTATTTGGGTCATTCAACCTTCAGATTGGTGGAAAGTTATCAGTTATTCTTGTTTAGAATCCTATATTTTATACAACTTCTTTGAAAAACAACTCCAGAAGCATGAAGAGTACATGAACATAAGTTATAGCACAAATCCATTCCATTTAATATAGTAAAAATATACAAGACATAAAATATTGTAACAGTTATACATTGAGGTTAACAGGAGTTAAAGTTCTAAAACTGACAACAGAACTATGACAGTAGATGCATCTTTTTTTATTTTCTAGTTTTGGCAACATGATGTCAAAAGAAAAAAGGGAGTCTGTGTCTAAGGAGGATCTGGCCAGAGCGACGCTGGTCACCATCACCAATAACATCGGCTCCATTACCAGAATGTGCGCTCTAAACGAGGTCAGTAATGCGCATGTTAAATCGAGCCGTTATCTCAGACCCTGGGGTTGGTTCTTTCTCCTGGGAAATGAAGGAGAATCAATAGAGATGAATCAAGATGATTTTTGTTTTACCAACATCCCAGCACCTGTTTTTCGATGGAGGTGTGACCAACCAGTTTTTATCGTTTACTATGCAGTATGGGAACGTTACAGATGTTTTCCCCTTGTGTTCGCACTATGATCTTCTGTCTTTATGGTGGAAGCAGAAACAACATCACACTGTGTTGTAACAGGGTTGTAACACTTTGAGGGGAAAAAATAGGAACATTTTCTGGCTCAGCTTCACCTCCTTCCAGACAGTTAGTGGATGGAAACAAAATTGGAGTAGGTTAAGACTCCAGCCACCTGTAAAACGAAGAGAAACCACCTTTACCGGCCAGCATATTCCACTTCATCAGTTTCCCTTTCATATGAACACAGAAGGTTTCTGAAGCCTTCATCTCTAATAAAGGAGTGCAGAACTGTCTCACTGGACAGTTTCTCAGAGAATCCAGACCTGTTCTAAGATGAGTTGGTTTTACTACGGTAACTAGGAAGCTGAAGTCAAACGGTTTGATTTAGGATGTGTGTTTAGAGTGGTTCTGTATAAAAAGACAGGAGAACAGTGTTATTCCTCTCTGCTTTCAGCCTCTTTACGGTGCTGCCTTGTGCCGTCTTGATCAAGCAGCATTGTACAGGGCTATGAAGGCGTAGAGGTCCTCACACCGGATAGCTTTGTTTGAAGCTGAGGTGGGGGCTGCTAAGAATACTGCCAATGAAATATAAAAAGAACCACAATTGTCCCCCATGTTTGTTGCTGCTTATTAAAGAGCATCAGTTTTTTTGTGAATGCAGATTCTTAGTTTCTTGTGTTTGTTCAGAACATAGAGAGAGTTGTGTTTGTGGGGAACTTCCTGAGAGTGAACACCCTCTCTATGAAGCTGCTGGCCTACGCCATGGACTACTGGTCCAAAGGCCAGCTCAAGGCCCTCTTCCTTCGACATGAGGCAAGTAACACCTGCAGGCTGTAGCATACATTTATTCTTCAGCACACAGATGCAGAGTCAGAGTGAACATTCATGTATTCATTCTTGCTGTTTTGGTTTGCCAGGGTTACTTTGGTGCTGTTGGAGCCCTCCTGGAGCTTCTGCATCCATCCTAATCTGCGGACTGAGGGGAAAAAATAAGAAATCTGCTGCAACAATCAGAAGCACTTTAGACTGTTCATTTCTAAAATCCCTTGTGAGCCACCCAATCCGCTGGTACATTTAGGTTATTTAAGTCAATGTTTGTTGGTTAGATGAGCGCTCCTTAAAACCATGGCTTCGGCTGGTTTCAGATGTTCAGGTTTGGTGATTCTGAAATCCAACGTTGCCTGAAGTACTTAATTTAAAAAATACCTGTGATCAGGTAGCTTTGTCCTTTGGAAGGTCTTTACCCATTTGTTGGTATCCGGTTCTGGGCCTGATACGTTTACTGAAGTACCTCCAGGCTGTTTGAAGGTACAATGATGATAAAAAGGATTCCCTTTATTAATTTTAAGCTTCACAGAGAAGATAAGTGGGGAAACATCAAGGCTTATGTTTGAAAGCAAGTTAAATCATAGCAACTGTCACTACAGGGAGACTTTATTTTTAAATAGTGTTTCCAGCTGTATTTATTCCCTTACTAAAACCCCTGTCTACATAGTCTCTGTTAAAGCTGAAACACTATTAACATCGGCTTCCTGTATGTGGTTAAATCAACTGGATGGCTTTAATAAAGAGGGGAAAATAGGTTTTAGTATGGAGAGAGCTTTGTTCCATATTTATTACATGTTTTGTGAATTGAAATAAAAAAGAAACAACTATATCTTAGAAATTGTAATTTGAACAAAAATGCAATCTGGAAATTATGCCTTTAGAAACTTTTTAACCAAAACTACGTTTTTTTTTAAGTTACCGGTATAAGTTTCTTCAGAATTCATTAAAACAATTTTTGAGATATTGTTACATTTTTCCACTTATGTTGCATTTTACAGATCAGATTCTTTTAATTTCAGGCTCGATACAAATGCTCGCTCTTAACTCATTTTATTGACCAATAAAATGTTGTTGCTAACGTCCATACGGGCCTCTAGAAATGAGTCTTCCCTCCTCACTTCCACCATCTGGAAGTGAGGATAATAGGATCTGTAAAACGCTATTTGAAAATTATGCATTCTGGTAAACTCAAAGCGAAAAAGTAAGTACAAAATCTTTTAATAGTGACATAAATACATTTTTTTTTTTTTTGTTCCAATCTTTGTGTGGAAATAATGGAACAAAATTCGCTCCATAGCTCTAGCAGCTTCTGCTGCATGGCCCATTCATTTTACTCAGAAGCTCCTTAAATATCACTTTTTTTTTTTTGGTCTGTTACTGCTTCTCCTTCATGGACTGTAAATGTGGGTGAAGTTGCTTACATGAACAGATAAAGTTATGTTCTTGAAGTGCCTTCAGGCCATTCCATGTCTGTCAGGAGAAACTAGAACACATTGAGAAATGTACGGTAGTCAGAAAGTCCAAAGACCGCGTCACTTCTTCTAATAATTTTTCTACGGTGAACCTCAGTGCTTTCCTCCAATGGAGGGGTTCTTCACACTTGTTCTGTTTTAGTGATCTGTTATTTACAAAAATCTTCCTGTTCGTCCATCTGTGATCGCAGGGACCAAGATCCGTCTCATGTTTGTAAGTTTGAAAACTAGAATAATGAGATTTGAAGTGCCTGTCTTGCTTTTTTTTTTTTTATAAAATCTGTTCAGTGTTACAGTCATCATTTTTTGAGATCTTTGTCATGTTTCTCATTTGCATTTTACCTGCATAGAATGTATTTTTATCTTAAAGAATTTTCATGTTGAATCTCCATTAAAATATTTTTTTTTCTGTACTCTATGTGGGGCTCGTCTCTTTTCTAAAATGAGAACTTTAGAAAGTACGGTACAAATATCATGAAGGCTAAGCAACAGACTTCAGTATCGATCAAAATTTTGCATCTAAGCATAAGATTTTTGCCTTTTGTTAAAATATATGTTAAAATATTCATCAATTTAATTATTTATTCAGAAGTACCAGATTGTGGTCACTAGAATTCCTTCCAGAAAGTAGAGGTTGGTAGTAACCACCTGCATTTACCAGTAATTTTTAAAAGAAAATGTGATTTTAGAAGTAGTTGCACTTCAACGTACTCATTGTTTTTTCTGAGACTATTGCTACTTAGGAGTACAATTTCTGATTACCCACCTAAAGTAACATGATCTACTGAAATGAATATGCAGAAAACTCATTGCTGAAATGTCCTTATCCCAAGACTTAAAGATACTTAGACACAATTATAATAAATAACATGAGCTGGATTTTAAGTTTTAATCATGAGACAGTACCTGATAGTCATATTAGTTCCAACTTGAATGACATGAAATATTGAGGTTTGATTAGCATCAATGAAGAATGAGAGTTTCCACACATGTGGCAACTGTCGGAATGAAGCACAGATATGTAACTGAGGAAGGAAAGGGGGGGGGGGGGACATGGAGTTTGGCTGGAAACTTTTCTCAGCACACGTGTACTTCATCAGATACACGTCTGTCTGAGAAAGGAGCAGATTCCAGCTTTTTAGCGTTTCGTAAGGAAGAGAGAGCCCTGTTACAGAACCAGACGTGAAAAGAGTCAGTGTCTTTCCAGGGAATAAATCCAGCCCCTTCAAGACTCAGCCTCCTCCTCCCACTCACTTACCTCCTCCTCCAACTCCTCGGTGAAAGCTGCACAGCTGGCAATTTAAAGACAGGAGTTGCCATAAGGAGTAAAAAGGGTGACCTGCTGCTCTGCTAATTGTACCAATACTTAATGGAGAACAAGAGTCTAACCAGGCACTGAGTTATTAATCAATCTTCTTTCTGTGGGGGTTCGGTCCATAAAGCTGTGGATCAGCACATCAAGCAGCCAGCACCCCTCTCTCCACTGGAACCATTATAACCTCCTTAATACTGCAAGCATAAGGTAAGAGGATCCAGTTCTATCGGTCTGTTAGAAGAATAACAGGAGAAAATCATTTCTGGTTATTATGAAATTAACATTTACAGCACTAGTTTGATTCAACTTTCATTTTTTTACTTGATAGACTAAGACTTAGATGTTTTTAAAAACTAATAAAAGTTCAAATAATTTTCAGTGACCCATTATTTTAATTATGGTCTTAGAATGGTGCTTAAGGGACTCATTGTTCATTTTGTGTGTCTTTATGCTGAATGCTAATCTGATCATATTAAGAGATGTTTAGATTAAAATATTTGCAAATTTAAAGAAATACTTTAATTAATTATAGAAATATTTCAATTTCCTATTTAATTATTAAAAAATATATTTAAAATTAGGAATTAAATGTCATGTTAAAATATGAATGCATTTAAAAAGTATTTAATTGCTTTACTCTATATTTGTATATAAATATAGTGTGAATATACTTTTATGGGGTCACAGGCTTAAAGATTTGGGAATAGCAGTAATAGAAAAATGATTCCACAAATTTGGGTTGGTGGCCCCAGTCGGGGTCCTTGATCAACCAGTATGAGGTCCTGGGAGCTTCTGCAGAAATTGAACTAAACAATAGTTATCTTAAAGTGCTGAACTAATAGTTTGGGTCATGAGTCGACTCTGGTAACATTTTGTGGGTCCAAAGCTGAAAAGTTCTGGAATCTCTGCAATAGATCAACGCATATCTGCCCTGCTGAGTCAATGCTGTTTAGAATGTCCTTTCACTGCAGTTACAGCTGCAGGTTTTCCACTGCCACTAAAAGCTGTGCATTTCCAAAGCAGCTAAAGCTCAGCACTTTGGATAGAAAATGTTTTTGTGCTTCAGTTTTCAAGTCTAGGCACTAGACATGAAAATTAGATTCATATGTAAAGTCCTGGATGATTCAACCATGTTTGTTTCTTTGAGTTGTTTTGAATTCTTTCACAACTTTATTCGTCTCTAAGCAAACATACTCAGGTTATGGGAAACAGGTGGTTTGTTTCAGAAAACTACTTATAGTTTGAAAAAAAAATGTTTTTTGGTGAGAAACATCTCCCAAGATTGAGCCAAATTTTGAGCTTAGAAATAGATGTTAGCATTAAACATTACTTTAATTTTAAGGATTAAAACTTTGCAGATCTGATCTGATAGCAGTAACAGTTTTCTGAATAGAAGAAAACTTATCTTTATGTGCATAAACACAGCAATTAGACTCAAACTGTAGCCTACAAACTGAAACAGTAATGAAAAAATTGCAGCACATTTAAACTAGATCAGTTTCCTCTTATGTCTCTGAGATCTACGGCTCTACTTAAAAAAACAGAAGCATTTTTCTTTGATGTTTTTTTGTTTATTTTCAGATATGCAGTTCTAAGTCACAGTAGCTCTACCTCTGGAAGCTGTTCCACACCAAAGCTTGTTGAACATATGTCTTTTTCCAAACGCAGTGAAATCAGACTCAGGCTATGTATTCAATCCCATACTGTGTTTTGGAAAGGCTAAATCTGATATGCGGTTCCTGTTCAAACACATCACACTACTGTATTTGTGCCATAAACTTTTTACCACTCACTAAAAGCTTAGGAGTCCTACTTCAGTTATCAATAGGAGTCCTATATGGTGCCCAGTTACCAACCTGCTACTAATGTAAAAATGGATGAAGAACATTTATTTGAAATTATGTGAATACTTTTCACCAACAGTAAAAAAAAAAAGAAATGTTTGATATTTTCTATTCAAGTTTTTAAAAATTAACTTCAACAACAAAACTCCGGAGCGTTCTTTGTTTTGGTTGGGATTCTGTATATACTGTAAACTCTCCAGAGCTGATGCAAATAAGCCTGAGACTGGACAAAAAATCTAATCACCAGGGGAGATCTACACTGGATTTTATAGATCAAATCCTATTCATGTGACAGAAAGGTGCAATTTTAATGTTTTTTTTTTCTTTTTAAAATCATCGATCTCTACCTAATTCTGCACATAAATTAAACTAAAGCTGAATGCAACAGGGAACCAAGACTTAAAAAAATGATCTCCATTAACACTGTGCATACATTTTGACAGTTTTGCACAAAAGAACAGGCAGAAATTTTGCACATTGACATACAGTCAATTCCAATCTACAGTAATTGTACTTGTACAGTAATGCCCACAAGTGTTTGGCCAGAGACATTTGCTTATTGTTTTGTTCAAATGCAGTTGATGTTTAGAGCAGATTGCAGAAACAAATAGCATAACTAATGCTTCTTTTAAACACAATCCCTTCATTCCAGGAGCTTAAATTGGACAGCCCTACGTGTTCGAGTCATCTCACTGCTTCGGACGTGTTTTACAGATGATGCTTTTTCAATTTTATTATTCATATGCTATTTTTTTCTAATGTTAGTTTTTCAAAATATTTTTTTGACATTCTTTTATATATATTTTATACTTGCAATAAATGCACAAACACAAAATAAAGACTTCAAGAAATGTATAATAGAAAATCAGTGGGTTCAAAATAAGTAAGCATAAATGCAGGAAGAAAATAAGAAATAAAAATGGAAGTTAAAATCTGCATTTTTAGATGAATAATTGATTAATGGACAAATTTAATATTTTTATTATTTTGTCTAATTTAATGACACACAAATTCATATAATTACCTACTTTTTCAAGCAATTTTTATAATATTCAATCCTTCATTTATATCTGTATGTATTTTTAATTATGGCAGGATTGGTCCTCTATAAAGAATGCCCTGGTTCTCCTGTAAAGAGAGCTCATTTGAAAACATGTTTCCTTCACAGGAAATTCTCCTAAATCTCACTAACTTCAGGCCTTTTATAGGCTTAATTCCTTTATTGCACAATAAAGGAATTGCTCACATCCTCCCATGAAATAAACTTTAATTGGATTGTTCTGTTACTTTTGGTCCCCTTAAAAACAGGGTGGCACATGTTAAGGAGCTGAAGCTCCGACACATTCATCCAACTTTGATATAGATAATTAAAGATAAACTTCATGTTCATAACTATAACTTTAATATGTTTCAGTAAATAATAAAGAAAAATTACATAGTGTCATGTCAAAATGCATATGGACCTGACTGTATACCCTGACAAAATGTTATTTTTTTTCTTGTTTGTATTTTGTTACTGACTGGAATTAAAAGGAACAATGACTAACTATATTAGAGTGGTGGTGGGGGGGAAACCTTATAACCACAAAGACTTGGAGCTCATTACAAAAAATACATAATCAAAATTAACAGAGGAAACATGCAAAAAGGTGTCCAGTGATCATTAGAAAGGTTGATTACAGTAATGCTGATAGATATTTAGACATTAAACACTGAGAAGAGGGCAGATTTAAATGACAAGAAGCCTGTTAACTCTTTCTTTCCATTTCATGTTTCATACAGCACTTTAGCGATATGTGGTTTTGTAACATGGCGGTATGTGTTCAAGGTAAAGCGGTTTTAGCAGGCTACAAATGGACTTACCACAGAATTGTTTTATATGTCTTCTTTAGGCTGAATTGTCTTTGTTTGCCTCTTCTCAATTTAAACCAAATTCAGATCCTTTAGGGTAATTTTGCAGTCACTCATTTCTCTTTATTAAGTCACTTTAATATTCTCTTTCCTTTCACATGTTCTGTTCATTTAAATCTCTTTGAAATGTCTTTGCCTTGCCTTATCCTTTTAAATCACCTCAACAGTGACCAGATGGTACGTATTAAAATGCCTAAGTAGCTTGACTCACTCACAATAACGCCCACACATGTGCTGGGCAGGTTCTTGCTCTATTCCATTCACTTTTTATTTTTTGTTGTTGTTTCTTTAAATAATTGTATAACACAATTTAAGCAACAGTGGTATAACTTTTTGGAATCCACTTTGAACTGAAGGCATTTGGTGAGGAGTGCAAAGGTTAAGTTAAGAATGGTAAGAATTGGAGTCTCATCTTTCACACTTTATTTGACGGAAAGTGGTCTCCTCTCCTCTATCTGACCCCTTTCCCTCACTATTGATCACTGAAAAAGATGTCAATAGACCCTTTTAGCATCACGGGTCGGGTTGCACTTTATTATTTACGAGTCCGTACCGTCCCGGACAAATTTTAAATGGGGATAATTGAGGGTAACATAATGGGTCAGGTCTCGGTTCTGAACTCTGCTGGTATGGATAGATGCAGTTTTGAAAAATCAGACCTGTGCAGAGTACTGTTTACAAGCATCAGCCACCACAGAGAGAGTTTTCTGAGATTTAAACATGTGTCCTCACCCTTCTCTTTTTCTTATCCTTCCCTGCAGTTGAAATAATGGAGAAGTCGAGGCACAAGCAGCAGCTGGCGGTCATTCTTCTGCTGGGGTTGTGGTTTCCTTGTTGTCTAACCCAGACCACACCGCCTACCAGAGCCAACTTGGCACCTACTCCATCTGGGACCCCTAAGGCTCAGACTGCACAGCTAAAGGTCAGACTGGCTGGATACCCCCGTAAACACAACGAGGGGCGGATAGAGCTGTTTTATAAAGGAGAGTGGGGAACCATCTGCGATGACGACTTCTCAATATCCAACGCCAACGTGCTCTGTCGTCAGCTGGGCTTCGTCTCAGCCACTGGATGGACTCACAGTTCCAAATATGGCAATGGCCAAGGTCAGAGATGCTTTAGTCAGCCACATTTTGGGTTGATATAGATTGTCTTTTCTGTATTTAAATAAAAAAAATGAATACAGAAATTCCACATTCCACAAATGGAACACACTTGTAATGAAGCCTAAACTGATATGATATGCTAAACACCATTTCTGGCAGATCACTACAACTGAACACACCCTCTGTGGAGGAAAGCATGGTAGCAGTCTTGTGACATGCAGAGGTGGATAATGCAGGTCCACAAAGTAAAAACTGTGCCTAGTTTCCCTACATCCTGTTCACTTAATGAAGTGATTAGCCCCAAATATGTGTTGTAGACCTAGAAATGCAAATGTTTGGAACCAAACAACACAATTCTAACTTTCTAGACCTAGATTATCCGCCCCTGTTGGGCATTAATATCCATTAGGGCCCTAAAAAAGTTTGGGCTAACCTTTATTAAAATGCAAGGAGGAAGATGTATGCAACTATTGATGGAAAAACCTGTTTCCCTCCAAGCAAAATGAATTTTCTGAAAATGCTTCACATTTGGCTTTAACATTAAGTGTAAAAAAGAAACGTAAGAAATTCACTGTAACGTCAGAAACATATTGTTATATCTAATTATTTCAGTTTCAATGTTTTTCTTGATAAAATAATGATATCATCCAGATGTGAATGGCTTTCTCTCCTTCAGCCTCAGAATTCACTGGAGCCTCAATTTCCTTTACTTGTTGCCTCTACAGGAAAGATCTGGTTGGACAATGTGATATGCAATGGAGGTGAGAAGAGCATTGAATTCTGCAAGTCTCGAGGATGGGGAAACAGTGACTGCACTCATGATGAAGATGCCGGAGTTGTTTGCAAAGATGAGAGGATTCCAGGCTTTGTGGACTCAAATATTATTGATGTAAGTTCCTTAAAATTAAAACAGAGGAGCCTCAGTTTCCAGATTAATTTTAAGGACAATTTGCACTTTATTAGCATTGAACATGACCTCTGCTCTAGAATATGGGTCTGATCTTCAGAAGGTTTGTGCATTTTAAAACGGAGGTGAACATGTTTGTACTTCTTGAGCAGATATTCAAAGAAGGTTCACAGTGATTTGCATTTGGATTTTTTTATTTGTGCCTACATTAGGTCATGTTCACGGGTGGAAGATGTGCAAATATAAGATGGAAGAGATAATCTCTGCTCCTGTAAACATATTTTCTCTGCTTGTTTTACTGTTTTTTTTTCTAATGAATATTATGGGCATAGTTGTGTTTGCAGTATATACGGTCAAGCTGCTGTTAGAGTAGATGGTGGAGATAAATCTCTTTTCATGAATAAAATGAGTGAGGGGCTTTTCCTGCTTCTAACAGTGGAAACATACTGTAGGATCAATGAGTTCTGCTATTTTAAAACATAATGTTTGAAGAAGTTGAGCCTGTAAACATATGAGTGTTCATCTGAAGTTACTGTAAGGCAACAGAACCTCAGTTTGACGGGATGCAGACTATGTCGGAGATTTATGTTCACATCAGGTCTAGCTATGTACAGTTTAGTCTGATCGCATATCCATACAGGGCTGTGCAGACACACTCAATGCTTTCAAGATTTCTCTTTGGTATTCACTATGAAACTTGTCCCTATCTTTGTCCCTCAATGTGTCTCAGCCAAAAACATTTTTTTGGGGGGGAATAAAACCACAGTGGAAGTGAGTCATCGCACAGCTGGCTTTCACAAGAGCAATGGCCGAGCTGTTAGTGATTAGAACTGATATTACTTTTTCATACAGCTATTACTAACTGTAACATTCTTTATTGGCCTTGTTGGAGAGAATCTGGGGTAATGATATTTAGTTATGAAGATAAAGAACTATAAGTTTTGATGATGAGATCCCTGTGAATAAAGAATTGACAATTACTTTGACTTCAACTTATTTACAGCACAAATTCAATTAAATTAAGTTTATTAATACAGTCCTGTGTCATCTTAAAGTTCTATACAGAAACAATGTCATCAGATCATCCAGACAGATTGGTTAAAAGATTTCTATTTAAGGAAAACCAGCTGATTGCATAAAGTCATTGACTGCTTGGTTGGTTCTTCCTGGATGAGCGTGGTGTTGGTAGATATTTGATTATGTGTGTTTGGGATGGGGGGAGGTGTATGGGTCTGATTGGAGTAACTGTGGCTTTGGTGGGGTCAGGCTCTGGGCCTACTGTCTTCTGGGCCGCCCGTGCTGTTCCTGGCTTTGGGGCGGGCTCCGCCCTGACTTTCCCCATCTTATGCTGATCAATATGCACATGATAGCCCCTGGGGGTCGGAAGTGTTGGGGGCCCTGCTGGTCCACTGCTTCTGGCTGTCTGGGGCACCTGGCCCCTCTGGGCGCTGCGTGGGTGGGCTCCTGCTTTGGGGGTTCGATGGTGGCCGGGCTCTCGGCCAGTGTCAGGGGGACGGGGCCTGGTGGCGGTAGGTGTGCTGTAGCTCGTGATTCCTGGGGGCCTCCACCCTACAGGGATGGGGGGGCTCCTCTGCGGGACTTCCCTGGTTGCTATCTGGGTTGGTGCCCAGATGTCTCTATGGTGTTCTCCCTGGGATTTGGGCTTGGGTAGCCGCTGCGGGACCGGGTCTAGGGGTGCTCTCTGCCCACTTTGAAGCACTGAGCAGGGGGGCTTCTGCTGGTGGCTCTTCTGCACCATTACTGAGTACAATCTGGAAACCAGGGCAGTGGGTTATCATTCTTTCATACACACACACACACACAAACAAACACACACACACACCCACACACACATCAGTTACTTGGACATACGGCTCCATAAGCTTCTGTACAGCTGCTGCATAATTCTGAGAAGCTCACTAACTTCTCTGCTACCAGTATTTTTGTGCTTCAGTTTTCAAGTCTAGGCACTAGACATGAAAATTAGATTCATATGTAAAGTCCTGGATGATTCAACCATGTTTGTTTCTTTGAGTTGTTTTGAATTCTTTCACAACTTTATTCGTCTCTAAGCAAACATACTCAGGTTATGGGAAACAGGTGGTTTGTTTCAGAAAACTACTTATAGTTTGAAAAAAATGTTTTTTGGTGAGAAACATCTCCCAAGATTGAGCCAAATTTTGAGCCTAGAAATAGATGTTACCATTAAACATTACTTTAATTTTAAGGATTAAAACTTTGCAGATCTGATCTGATAGCAGTAACAGTTTTCTGAATATAAGAAACTTATCTTTATGTGCATAAACACAGCAATTAGACTCAAACTGTAGCCTACAAACTGAAACAGTAATGAAAAAAATTGCAGCACATTTAAACTACATCAGTTTCCTCTTATGTCTCTGAGAGCTACGGCTCTATTTAAAAAAACAGAAGCATTTTTCTTTGATGGTTTTTTGTTTATTTTCAGATATGCAGTTCTAAGTCACAGTAGCTCTACCTCTGGAAGCTGTTTCACCAAAGCTTGTTGAACATATGTCTTTTTCCAAACACAGTGAAATCAGACTCAGGCTATGTATTCAATCCCATACTGTGTTTTGGAAAGGCTAAATCTGATTTGCGGTTCCTGCTCAAACACATCACACTACTGTATTTGTGCCATAAACTTTTTACCACTCACTAAAAGCTTAGGAGTCCTACTTCAGTTATCAATAGGAGTCCTATATGGTGCCCAGTTACCGACCTGCTACCAATGTAAAAATGGATGAAGAACATTTATTTGACAATATGTGAATACTTTTCACCAACAGTAAAAAAAAAAAAGAAATGTTTGATATTTTCTATTCAAGTTTCAAAAAATTTACTTCAACAACAATCTCCCATGCATGTTTTGTTTTGGTTGGGATTCTGTATATACTGTAAATTGTCCACAGCTGATGCAAATAAGATCTAAGACTGGACAAAAAATCTTATCACCCAGGGAGATCTACACTGGATTTTATAGATCAAATCCTATTCATGTGACAGAAACGTGCAATTTTAATGATTTTTTTTTTCTTTTTAAAATCATCTATCTCTACCTAATTCTGCACATAAATTAAACTAAAGCTGAATGCAACAGGGAACCAAGACTTGAAAAATGATCTCCATTAACACTGTGCATACATTTTGACAGTTTTGCACAAAATAACAGCCAGAAATTTTGCACACCTGTTAAAGACATACAGTCAATTCCAATCTACAGTAATTGTACTTGTACAGTAATGTCCACAAGTGTTTGGCCAAAGACATTTGCCTATTGTTTTGTTCAAATGCAGTTGATGTTTAGAGCAGATTGCAGAAACAAATAGCATAACTAATACTTCTTTTAAACACAATCCCTTCATTCCAGGAGCTTAAATTGGACAAATTAAATCATTGTTAATAAAGTGTTCATTTCTAATACTTGGTTGAAAACGCTTTTGTGGCAATGGCTGACTTAAGTCAGGAACTCACAGACATCCATGAGTTTTCATTTGCTGTTTTCCTTTATACCTTTCTATTTTAGTCTTCAACAAGTGAAAAGCATGATCATTGGGGTTTAGATAAGGTAACACATTTTTTTCCATCTGGGTTTGGCTACCTCTGAAAATGCGTTATGTCTGAATGGATAATGCAGGTCCACAAAGTAAAAACAAAGTTGTTGTTGTTGCTCTTGCTGCTTGTTTGTTCTTTTGTTTTCCCTCTGCAGACATAGAAAAGGAACATAGATCATGAAGACTTTCTATGTCTGAAAATTAACTATTGTAAATCCAAAAGTGGCTCTGTCTAGGATAGAAACAGTTAGACAAGTTCTGAGCCACTTTTCACGCCAAAAGTGATCAAAGACAGCACATACAGTTAGTGACAGTAAAAGCTGAGCCCATAGCTATGACCAGAAGAGAAACAGAAACAAACACTGAAAAACAGCCCCAACTCTTTAGATTTACTTAATATATTTATGTTTTGTTTATGGTTTCTTGAATGAACTAATCTATTAATGGCTTTCACTTCTTTCCAGCCCCAAGTCGATGAGAAGAAAGTGGAGGAGGTGCGACTCCGTCCTGTTGTTGCGACGGCCAAGAAACTGCCAATCACAGAGGGTGTCGTGGAGGTGAAACACAAAGACGGCTGGGCGCAGATCTGTGACTTGGGATGGACGATCAAAAACACCCGAGTGGTCTGTGGCATGCTGGGATTCCCGCACGAAAAGAAGGTGAACAAGAACTTCTACAAGTAAGAAACTGGCTCAACCAGACCTTTAAAACTCTACACTGTGATAAGTTTTTAAAAAAGTATCAGAGAGGATAAAAGCTAGATTTAGTAATGGGTGGAGAAAGAAAGTATGACCTTTCTCTCCGTTGGTTTTTAAGGATCAGGAGAAAATGAAAAGGATCTGGCCTTGATTTCATCTGTGAAAAAAGATTGGCCTACGTCAAAAAGCTTTGCTTCCCTTCATTGAGCTTTTCTTTTAATGTCTCCTTAGAGGATTTCTGTCTCGATAAGAACAGAACTTTTACTGGATCGTTTCCCCTCTTTAAATTGTTTCTTCTGTGCATGGGAACAGGGCAGTGCTACACAATAAAAGGTTTAGCCAAACTCTGTCAGTTGGACATTAACATTTCTTTCTGGAGTATCTCCATAAACTAAAGCTGTTCTTGTCGACTCACTGACGGTTGTGTGGCTACAAAACAGGCCCATATCATGAACCCTCCAGTGCCATGCTTTCTAGTCAAAGAAGTACAGTAACAATGTCTAGTAAAACATTTGAAACTCTGTATCATCTTTCAGAATGACATTGTTCCCGAAGTCTTGTGGCTTTATTTAGATGAAATTTGCAATCTTTGAATTTGCTGCCTTTCTCTTTGTCTTTTAGAAAGTGGACACTTTCTCCTGTTGACCCTATAGAGCAGGGACAACTGTTCAGTCCCTAAATAGTTTGCAGATGTCTTTAAAACACATTAAAGCTCGATGAGCCGTAACCATTTCATCTCCAGGGACAATGAACTGGCCTTTTTATGGAAGTTGTCACGCTTTACGATTATCTTTCGAATTGCTCCAACTGTAAATATTTCACGGCTATTTTGAATACTGATTCATTTCAAACCATGAAAGGGTGGACAAAGTCTTTTCCAAACCCAGTTTTTCCATTTGGCTTAAATTTTATTTAAATGTAAATTTTTATTTAATATGACACAGTTGGATTTTGTGAATGTTTTTGAGGACTGAGGTTTGATCTTAATAACTTGAGAAGCTTAATTCAATTAGGTCCTGATACGGACACTTTGCTTGTATTTAAAGGTTTCTTTCCATTCAGCCTGTAAACAAGGGAAAATTTACTAAAATTATTCTTTACTGTTACATACTTAACAACAGGTATTTAGCACATTGTTATCTATTCATATCAGCCTATTTAAATGAAATACACAAAGGATGAACCTTGCAGTCGTAATCATCTTATAACAATGTTGACAACAGCTATTGTCCTGCTTGGGGAAGTCTTTGGGATTGTATCATTCTCTCAGGATGGAACATTTCCTTTACTTTTCATTGTCATTCCGGTAGTTTTCATCTACCCAACCACAAGCAGGACCTTCTCATCTTTTTTTTTTTTTTTGCTAGAGAGTGGAGACTGTGGAGGCTATTGTTTACTGTGGCTATGAAGGGGAATGTCTGAAGAAGACAGTCTGCAGGGAGTGTTAAGTGACAGCTGCTCTCCCGGGGAAAGTTAGTGTTTGCAAAAGAGTCTGACTGTTGATTTCAGTCTCTTATATTTTCTATTTGTGAATGTTTATGTTTTCTTTCTTACTATATATAAAACTTTTTTGTTGTGAGGTCACATAATTCATCCTCTTGGCCTCTTTGGTTTGCATTGGAAAAGCAGCTTTAGACTCACTTTAGCTGCTGTCACACTGTTTCTTGTTTGAGAAATATTATGTCTGAAAAAGACTCATATTTGTTGAAACATCAAGTCCTGTCCCATTTTCAAGTGCTGTATATGTGACACATTTGATATACCCCTATTGGGCATAATAAACATGTATTTGTTTATTAATGTTTAACTCAATCAGGATAGGGTACATTGTCTCATTCTTATTTTTCTCCCACATTTAAGAATAAAGTAACTATCTGTGAAGAGGAGGCCATCTAAATATGGACAAGTTGAATAAATTCTAGCTAGAATAATGGCCTAGTGATAAGGGCATAGAACTTGGAATCCTGAGGTTCTTAGTTCGAGCCCCACTCCCTCCCCACTCTCTGAGCAAGACCCTTAAAAGACCATTAACCCCACACTGCTCCTCCCAAGCGACCTGCAAAATTTGTGCATGTGACTCTTATGTGACACATAGATGTGCACGCAACCAGTCTGTGAAGATTTAACTCACCTATTGAAGAAGAGATTGCTACACACTGCAGACCTCAACCACTCTCGACATGGAGGAAAATGCTTGATAGTTATGGACTACAGATGTTTTCATTTGAGATGCTAAGGTTAATTGGTACATAAAACATGATCTTTTGGCAATAGTGATATTTCTTTCAACAAATTGAGCTGTAAAAAAATGATGAATTTCTTGTCAAACTTTCCGTAGAGTTCAGTAACTGTAATAGTAACTGATAAATACAAGTTTCCCCACTCAATTCAGCTAACAAATAAATTATAAAGTGATTATTGTCAGTAAAGAACTGAATCTTTGAGGTTCTGGTATTTTTCTCCTTGATATTCTGTTTCAATCTGGTCCTTGTTGAATGACTGCACACATTCTGGTTCAGGCCTCCTCATTCTCCCTCTGCAGATGGTTCACAGTAGCACGAGGGGAAATGTGTGTTTTCTCTCAGGCATGTGTGAGGCTGTGAGCTGGAGGAATCTGGTTCTCTGGAGAAGGTCAGATTCTCTTAATGAAAACGGTCACCATAGAACCAAATGGAAGAGAGGAACCACTCGGTATGAAGCACTGATGACCTGAGCGCCGTAACGTGATCTGCTTCAGACCTGTGGAATCTCAAAAATGTCCTTCACCACTAAACATAAAAAATAAACAGTTTTTTGCAGGAAGTACTCATGGAGCCAGTTAAAATATGTGTTTGCATGTAGTTTCTCTCCCGCATGTGATGGAATTTGACTGTCTCACTGTTACAGACATCTGAAAAAGCGAGCTGCTGAGAAGGTCTCCAGTCCAAAGGTTAATGTTTCAGCTGGTGGAAGGTACTATGTTGCAGGAACACCCACTCTAATCAGTGCTCTAATGCCTGTATTTTTGGGCAGTGGGTTTCCTGTTAGCTTAGAAAATAGACATTCGGCTGTCGATGATATGGCCCTTTTTTCTTTTTTTTCTTTTTTTTTGCTTTTTAGAACTTCCCATTCATGCAAACTTTATGCTTACCTTCCTTGGGAAAACTTCCTATCTTTATTTGTTACACCACTGCACAGATAGAGACTGTCAAGAAAATAGCTTACATTTTATGACCGAATACATCTTCTTTACACTAATTTTAGTACAAATGTTAAATGTTCCCAAATAGAAAACATTTTTCTATCTTTTCCATCACCTTTTTTTGGAGGATTTTGTAAATGACAGTTCCCGTCTGTGCAGTGCATGTAAATTGGTGTATTATTCCGTTCATAAGTGCTTTTTATCTGTTATAGAAGCTGGAGATCTTTCATCATTATAGCATGTTTTTCTGAATAGGTGCTGGGTTCTTCAACTTAATTACTTGCAGGCCTTTGGGTCATGTGTCAGAATGCCCAGAGCTTGTTTTTGTGTGGAATCTGCAAAGAATTGGGTGTGCATGTACTGTATGAGAATTCAAAGATTTTCCAACCTACTAAGTTTGACTGTTAGTCTAAGAAAATAAGCTTTTTCATCTCATTGAAAGAGTTTAATTTGAATTAATTAAAAGTTGCAGTAAAAAAAATAAAAAGGGTGTAAAGTACTGAAAACTGCATGAAATTGCAAATAATCTGCAAACACATAGATTAGTTAGCACACATGAACCTGTGCTGCCTATGGTATGGTAGCATACGTGTAACTTCCAAGCACACACGCAGTTGATTTTCTTTAGTCTGTTGGAGATAAAAATTAAGGTGTATGAATGGACGATTCAAAAAGTGTGAACTGATTCCTTTCCATTTGATTTTAACACCACATTAAGACACATTTTGCTTATTACTAAAAATATTTTTGCCTCTTCAGGATGATTGTGTTCATGAAAATATTAAGTCTCTTTATGAAGTTAAAGGGTTCGGCTTTTAACAAACTTTCTACAACTTTATTTAGCATTTCTTTTTTATTCAAAAGTCAGGATCAGAATTACTTTATTAATGCCTAACTGGAAATTCTTTTCTTGCACTGCAACTTTTTACAGAAGTATCATAGAGCAAAATAGAAATATAATATTACCGTATAAGACAGAATAAAATAAGCAAGTAAAATAAGTAAAATTACAACCCACACAGTAAAACGAGATATGTAGACTGTCATGATGGGTTCAGAAAAGCCCAATATGCAGAACACAACGGAGTCTGATGAAAAGTTTGACAAAGTTTATTAAAGCACATGCACATGGAATATAACACTGGAACTGGTTCAGGCCGGGGGGCAGGTTCACTGGAGTCTGTAAGGATGACAGTTCAGTTAGCTCTGGAACTGAAGAGTTTGAGTTTGAGAGTTTCTGAAGAATACCTTGAGGAGTCCGGGTTATACTTTGAGAGAGGAACTGTTGGGTCCAGAGACTGTTTAGTTCAGCAGAGTCCGATAACCGCTTCAGCGTCTTACTTCTGACTTGAGGGCAGACCTTGGTTTGGGTTTCCAGCTCTTAGCCAAGAGCTACTGGGGAATCCAGAGAAGAGTCTTCAGGTTTGGCTCAGAGGGCAGGCTTGGCAGGTTAAACTCATCCAGAGCTTCCAAGGGAAACAGGATTCCTGTGAAGCAGAGACAAGGAGGAATTAGAATCTGATCTCAACAGAGATAACTAAGATTCTCAGGTGTTTGCTAGGCTCAGGTGCTAACCAAACTGGATCAACACTGCGGCGTTGAGGCAAGGTCTGAAGGCAGGTTATATACAGGGGGATCCTCTGATGACGAGATGCGCCACAGGTGTGTTGGAGGCACAGCTCAGGAGGATCAACGGCGCACTCTGCTGGAGAAAGGTGGTACAGCTCCAGATCCCAACATAGACAAAGATTTCTCTAAAATAGCTTAGGCCCACGCCTGATTTAATTTGTATTGCTTTGTGTTGCAGATTCCACTTGATTTAGCTCTTGGTCTAAATTAAAAGATGTGAAGTTGGATTCAGGGAAAACGAGTTGATCAACCCAGCATACTGCGATTCAGTTTAGTCTCACAGTCCTTTTACTGGTGGATGTTCTGGGTTGCACACAGGTTTTTCATGCAGCATAAAGAGGATCCCAAGAATTACACAAATTATTTGCCAGATCTTGAAAATTTAATTTCATATTGACATTAAAGTGTTGCTTCTTTCAAAGTAATTTGATTTGTACTCACTATGCATAATTGACTATCCTCTACTATATAATTCTCATCAGAATTATATAGTAAAAAAAATGTCCATATACTGTTCTTTGCACCTATCTCTATTTTTGCCATAGTATATCATACTGTATTTGCATGTCTAGATCTACTTACCTTGAAATCATCTTTACAAAAGTGATGTTTAAAAAGAAATGGGCCCATGTCTGTGTTCCATTTCTTTAAAACAGTTGTGTTTCATGTCACTCATGTTTCAATGGTTTCTTTGTCCCTGTATTGCTTCTTTTTTTTGTGTCGACTCACCCGCATTTACCTTGCAGGAAACCACCCAAAGCTAAAGCTAACTCTAAGTCTAAACAGAGCAACCCTGACAAAAGGTAATCAAGGATAGATAATTCAGTTTAAATATAGCTGGTGTCTGAAAAATAATTTTTCTTCCTTCACAAGTAATTCTGCCAATTAAATATATAAATATCTAATTTTGCCAAAGACAAATATGACATATTGACATATGACATATTGTGGCTTGATGTAATAGAGCAGTTGTGATAGACTTACAGTGTTTACCAATGTAATCTAATAGTTATTTCAAAATAAAACCTTTGGCCTGCAAATGTGATTAAGCACACAGTAATACCCTGCAAGTATAATCAGTAGGATAAATCTACTTAAACAAAAAAACACCCCTTATGCCCATAAAACACAGCTAGCAATCCTCATCCAGTCTGACTGAACTTAAGCTTTTTGGAAAGAAGGCAAAAAGGTTAAATCAGTAAATCTACTACAGTATGTCCTGCTTTGCACTGATCTGTCATTGAAATTTCCCCTAAAATGCAATGAACCTCATGGGTGTAAAGTAACAGAATGAGTCTAAAGGCTCAAAACTTGAAATCTTCTGTGAGGGATTGCACAAAAATACCTTTTCACCAAACTTCAAAAATATAAACAATCATAAAAGATAAACATTTAAACAAAACAAGTCAAGAAGCATATCTGAAATTATGGTCAAGATATAAGGATAGATACCTACTTCACATCCAAATAAAAACTAGAATATGTTCATAAACATATGTATGTAACAAGCGTAAGAGAAAGCTTGTTACATACTTGATGAGAAGGGAGATGATTTTCCGCCTTAGGTTTTTGGGTTGGAAATCTGTGTGTTGATCTGTTATATAGAGAAAGCAGTGAGGAAATAAGAAGATTTGTATGCTACATAAAAAATACAAAAGTGTCTTTCACACTTTTTAACATTTTACACCCTGTCACCACCTTCCCAAAGTCAAACAATATTGTATGTTCCCACTTCTATTGTAGCAGGGACTAAGATCCTGTAAAGTAATTAAATTTGGGGCCCAAGGCGAAGGCAGGCGTGGGGCCCTCTGAAATAACAAGACAACACACAAAACAATAGTTCAGTTACATGGATAGAAACATTTAGCAGACTACAAATGCATTTTACCTTTTTCCTTCTCTCCCTGTTTCCCATTCTCACATCGTCTTTCTCACTTTTTACTTCAGACTCTTTCATTTGTTGCATTCCTCTCCTTGTTTACTTTCATCTTTTTGTCTTACTATCTTTTTCTCAGTGCTTATATTTTTCTCTGTTTGATCCTTGTTTATTTCAAGTGGTGGACAGTAACCGTGTACATTAACTTGATAACTGTACTTCAGTACTTTATTTTTGTGTATCTTTACATTACTTATGTAATTTTTGGAGAGGGAACTTATAACTTTTACATTTCTACACCAAACCTCATTTCAAATTCAAATATTGTACTTTCTACTCCACTATATTTCTAGGAAGCTGGTTGTTGTTCCTTTGGGCTTAGCTTATCTTTGTAATCCCCTGTTGCTGTTTTTCTTTCTTGGAATATGATTGGTCACATTATGTTTCTGACAAAGTTCAGAGTTCATCCTTAAGAACAGGTATCCTGGATGTTTTAATTATCTCTCTTTGTTCAAAAAACCTGGCTCCAATGGTAGCTTTTTAACAGCCATATGCAGAACTTTGACATGCTGAGGAGGAAATAGCTACCTCCAGGGAGAATAACTAAAACGTGTCAGATACCAGAACTGGAGGACTGAATTTGAAGACCACTCTTTTAGAAATTTCAATGGCATTTTTAAATGTGAGAAACTCATGGCAGATATCATTAGTAAGGCTTTAGTTTTTTCCATGTGACCAAGTTGTTCATTACGATGAGTTTTTAAATCAGGGTTGCAGTTTCTTTTTTGTAATAGATTTTATCTCAAACCTATATTCCACAGTGAACATGTGAGGAGAATTGAGACTCTCCTGTTTTCTTTTTGGTTTGTTTTTAAATAAAGAATAATAATAAAAATAGCTGTGATTATTTTTGTGGCATTTTTATGCTGAAGTTATTTAGAAGTGGAATATATGTGTAAAAACAATTGATTCATTTGGCGGTTGACTTTCCAATGTCCGTTTCCCATCTCTGCTCTCCTCAGGTTGTACTTGGAGCGACAGAAGAACTCCTACCTCATCCAGTCTGTGGCATGCACAGGCACAGAGGTCCACCTGGCAGCCTGTCAGCTTGAGTTCAACAAGCCAAACGCCACATCATCCTGCGCCGGTGGCATGCCGGCTGTTGTGAGCTGCATGCCCGGCCCGCTATTTATGCAAAACAGAAGTCTGAAAAAGAAAGTTAAAACCTCGGTAAAGTTTTCTACAGTTATAGAAGATGGCAAAGGAAAACATGTTTTAGCATAATTTGGCTTGCAAAGATATTCATACCTGAACTTTTCCATATTTTGTCTCGTTGCAACCCTGAACTTCAATGTGTTTTTCTGGGATTTTGCTTAAAAAATAGAAAAAGGAGGCTCTTTTTTTTAAAGCTATTTTAAGCCACTTTGTTAGTTTCCTAGAAGTCCTGTAGCAAACATTTTTTCATCAGATGAGATCAAAACTTGTTGACAAATTAAAAATTAATAAATGAAAGAATGACTACTAGATATATATCTGGTGGGCAGACACTCCTTTTTGAGACGGCCCAAGGTGTCATAGTGGTATCAAAACTGTATTTATGATTTGTTGTTTAATATATCACACTATATTAAATAACTTATCAATTTACCAAATCATTATCCAATCAAAGGATTTAAAAATTAATCACCTATATCCCTTAATAAATTCAGAAAAGGCTTTCCGCTGTATGATTTAGACATTTTTAATATTTCTAATTTTGGTCTTTGCAATGCCAGAATTTTCCAACCATTTAATTTTTGTTAGATTTAATATTTCTTTTAAAGAAACAAATCAGAGGATATGATCAGTTACTCAATATTTAGGTAGGCTTTTTACCAAATAGCTCTTTGGTTGCAGGCCAAACTCTTTGACCTGATGCAACTGTCGCCCCACGTCTGAAAAGGGAAATGGAGAAGTGAAAACTATTTGTTAATACCCTTACTGTAAAAAAGCTATGAGAGGAAAAACAGTGACACTGTCCATGAACACACATTGAACACACACCATGCATACAGGGCTACATAGTGGTGGCAGCATCATGCTGTGGGATGCTTTTATTTATTTTACACAAGAAGGCTAATTAGGGCTAATGGGAAATGTAACATATATTATACAGGGTGAATAGATAACATGAGAAAACTAGATATGCACGATATATCGGTACCTGCCAATATTGGTCATATTAAATTTTTTTACAGCAATAGTGGCTTGTTTTTTGACAGTAGGCTGACAGGAAAGGGGGTATGAGAGAGAGGGAAAGACATGCTGCCCCAATATTGGCTATGTTTAAATATATTTGTTTCGGACTAAAAAATTAAAGTTGGGCTGGTGCTAAAAAACAGTATTTGCTTTCATGTAGCTGCTGCATTTGTTTCAGGAGGGAGAGGAGAGGGGAGGGGATTGGTCATGTTTTTGTGTGACAGTAGTTGCATTTAAATTACAAATCAGATCAAGGCATACATGGGCAATGTGGAGTCAACAAGCCATCTCCATGTCATGTATTTAATCTACCCAGCAAATTAACCAGGTGAGTCCAATCTGCACAGGTTAATTCACGGTGAAGTTGGACTCACCTGCTTCAGTGGCTGGGTAAAACAAATACATGACATGGAGATGACTTGTTGACTCCACATTGCCCATGTCTGGATCAAGGGTATGCCGATATTCCGCTAAATTCCACAATGCAAAGTTTTATAATTCCTTTATTTTCTTTAAATACAATTAAAATTGCACATGAATATGTTTGTTAATGTTATACCTCTGAAAACAACATGGCAGATGCAGATGAAATAACCACATGAAATATATCCATATTTCAGCCTCTAGTAGGCTCCATCATCTTCCACCTACTTCCTGTCTTTTTCCTGTCTTTAAGGTCTAGATGCAGATCATGTGGTATGTGATGGAGGAAAAAAAGTGCTTTCGATTGCAGTTTCGCGAAATATAAAGATTTAAATACAACCAAAAAACTATTTCATCTAAGTGTAAAAACTTTTTATAAAACAGTTTGTTTGTTGTTGTTTTCTTAAAAATTACACTGTTTCCATTTTGAGAATCTATTTTCATAATTACATTTTTTTGCAATTTGATGGTTAATGGAAATGCAGCTAATGATTGTGATGCAGCTCAGGATTGTGTTTACCTACAGCAGCAGTGTCAGCAGGTAAACATAATATAGGGTGTGGGTAAAAACGGGTTATTGACCATAAAGGAAACATTAACATCAGACATCCATATTGCCCCGATTTTAATATCCGTCCATTGTCAGAGAAAACCTATTAAGGGCTGCAAAGGGTTTAAAATGGGGCAGAGGCTGCAGAATTAGGATTCACTTAAAGCAAAACATGCAGCATTCACATTTGAAGACGGCCAACTTAAAGTACAAATATAAATGGAGTTAAGAATACACTGGTATAAAATGGAAGGTTACAGCTCAGCACAATTTTCATCCAGTGCAAAAATTCACGTGTTTCAGAAGTCTGTGGTTGTATGGTGGCAAAATGTGGCGATGATCACAAGTAATGTTTAAACTGGATTTTTGCTTGCTGAGAGACTATGCCGAAAGCAGGCTTGGGTTTCCTAAACAAATATAGATAAATGTATGTTTCTTTTCTTTTTTCTTTAGAGCAACGTGAGGCTGAAGGGTGGAGCCAGGCTGGGAGAAGGTCGAGTGGAAGTACTGAAAGGCAGCGAATGGGGGACGGTGTGTGACGACCGCTGGAACCTGCAGTCAGCCAGCGTCGTTTGCAGAGAGCTTGGCTTCGGCAGCGCAAAGGAAGCTCTTACTGGTGCCCGCATGGGTCAAGGTGGGAAATCACCCTTGTAAAAGAGGCCTTTGTCTCAACAGGTTTTACACCAGGTTTAATAAAGGATAAATAAGATTTCACTGGATCTCGTTCCAAGTTATGAACACCTGTCGTCAATGTTTTATCATCATCTGAGAACTAGAAGGAAAGACTCGAAGCTAATATATAAGCTTAACTCCTGTGCTGCACTACAACCAGGATCTCTCTCCTTAAGCTCATCAGAGCAGCGATTTTCACCAGGGTGACAATGTAGAACCGCACTTTATGCAAACTGTTAGTGTCTAATGAGCTAAAAATGCCATTTTTCCGCAGCATAATGATCTACAAAGCGTGTAGGTATGTTTAATTTAGGTACAAAATTCCAAAAAAGAAAAAAAAAAACTATCCACTAGACATTGTTTCCAAGTTTAAAGACATTTCACTTCCCATCCAGGAAGCTTTTTCAATTCAAATATCAGAATTACTGTGGAGTTCTAGGCTTTATAGAGTGGACCAAAACAATGCCTTGTTTTGGCTTAGAAAACATGCAAATTGAACCAGGAGCACGGGTCCGCCCCTTAAGAATACTGAGCCATTTGGGTTCTTTGTTGGCCTGCAATACCTGATACTGGTCTATGCCTCTGTAAGGGGGGTCGTTAACGGAAATCGTTGGCCTGGCTGAACAGGCGAGATGGTTCGTCCCCTGTATGGGAGTCAGGGTTGAGATGATAGCGGGAAGGAATCCACTCTATCGCTGCTTTGTAGGTTTTTGAAAGCTGAAACCTGAGTTCACACTCTGTTTAATTTTGATTTTTCTTTCTTAACATAAATGGCTTCCTTCACACACCTTTCAAACTACCTTTCTTCTAAAGGTACAAAATCAACTGTGTTCCCTGGCTGAAATGCTCTGGAGAACCTTTGGGGTGAGCTGAAGGCAATAGTGCATAAAGGAGGACCGAGGAATCAGACTGATCTACTAAGGTTATGCATGGTCAAAGATCTGTCTGTGTACTCCAACTTTATGACATTTTACTGGACAAGACTAAGTGCTGTAAAAAATAGGATTATACATAAGCATTAGTACCTTGATATGTTTAATACAATAATTTGATAACACTGGATTTGCTTTTCTCCACAAATAAAAAATCTGGAATCAGACTATATTAATTATATTATTTTAGGACTGTTCCACTAATTTACCAGGAGCTCTAATAAGGGCGACTAAAGCTGTTCTTCATCATCTCTGATGGGGGAAACTTTTCAACCAAAAGGCTTTCGTGACGTTGCATAGTTCTTCATGTGGAAATGTGTGTTTTTCTCATTTGGGTATTTCCTTTACAAGGTACAAGTGTGGGTATTTGGCTAAACGGGCGAGAAATTCCGTTAGGTAAGAAAACAGGCAGCCTTTTCAGCACCGGTTCTGGGAAATGCCAGGAAGGAGTTCCTCTTCTTGTGTTTGCATATTATAATCAGCACATGGGAGTAAGTTGGCTGATGAGGTTTAGCATGGATCCGTTAGATGAAGCAGCATAGCCGTGATGCGGTTGGATGGGTGTCTGACCACCAGCTGCCTGGATTAGCCAGAAACATCCATGTAGGTCAGAAGGAAGAGCACCTAAATGGCAGCCATTTATAAGAAATACATCAAGCACTACATGAAGGAGTCATGTTACATTCTAGAGTCGGATTCCTAAATTTCATTGTAAAAAAGAAAACAGTCGATAGCTGAATTAGTCTAACAAGAATGTTAAAAGTCAGACAGCTTTCTTGGTAGATCTATTTATTGTGATCCTGCATTAAGTTTTCAGGATATCAACACAGGCTAATTTAAAGGAAACATTTGCAACTAAATAAAATAATAATGTTAGAAAAGTAACATTAGGAGATAAAAGTACTACTGTAAAGAAATGTTAATTTTTTTTCCAAAAAAAAAAAAATATATATATTTGAAGGTCCTCCATAAAATTCTTTAGCTAGTTTGACTCCAGATCTCGTTCTTTTTTTTCAGGAATAGGTCCAATCTACATGAATGAGGTGAAGTGCTTTGGAAATGAGAAGTCGATCTGGAACTGCCCGTTTAAAAACATTACATCTGAGGATTGTCAGCACATGGAGGACGCTGCTGTCCGCTGCAACATCCCCTACATGGGCCTGGAGAACTCGGTCAGACCTTACCTCCTTACTGAAATGTTCACATAACTGTTGGTCTTAATAATAATTTAAAATGTATTTAATTAGTTTGAGCATAAGAGATTGAATTAGTTCCAGATTTTAATCAAACAGTGGGAACACTGTGTTTGTTTCCGTGTACATTTAAAACGAAATGTATCTTGAAAAAGTTCAATAAATTTTGTCACTCAGACAGTAAAACCAATACATTTAGATTCATCGCACATTGAGTCTGAATTTCAAAAAAAGCTGGCGTGTTGCAGGTGATCTACAAAGATTGCTTTGTTTTTGGTTTTGAGTCATTAAAATAAGCATATTGCATCTTTTATTGGCAGTTTGAGATTATTACAACACATTTTTAAAAGATAATAATCATACTGCCCATCTCAAAGTGCTACAAACAAAAGTTGGAAATAAAATGATGAGAATGACTTAAATTGAAGTTAAATATAAAAAAAATAAATGAAAAGGGAGTGTTGTGTTTGTTTGCTGCTTAAAGAAAATCATGAGAGGAAAAAAAATCTGTGTTTTCTATCTGTAATGTTGTACGCTGGGCTATTATTATTATATATTTATTTATTAATATTATTCTATGCTTGGTTAATATTACTATTTATTTCTACTACTATTTATTCATATTATTCTGCTATTGCTTCTAAAAGTCCTCATATGGTTACATGTGCAAAGTATGTCTGTCATTCATGGGCGTAGGTTTGCATAGGGACCATAGGGACATGTCCCTACCAAAATTTTGAACCGACCTAATTGTCCCGACCAATAATTGGATGTGAGCAACATGTTTATAATTTACAGTAGTTGTTGCAGCAGTGGCTTCTTTTCCTCTCGCAGCTCCTCTGCCTGGTCTCTCCTGTCCCTTTCACGTAGCAGCGCATGGAACTGTGCTGCGCTGTTTAACTCCACTCTCATTGGTTGTTCTGCCCTAAGTTCCGCCTTCTCTCTCTCTGATTGGCTGTTTACTAGTCCGCGTGTGCTTGGAGCACAACATTGAAAATTTATTCACACTAGAATGCAGCGGTTACAACAATTAATATTAGGCTACAAAACTAGTCCCAATAAAAAAAATGAATATCATGTACACTAAAAAAAAAAAACCTTTTTTTTTTTATTTTATAAAACGAAATATTCTGAGTCAGCCAGGAGTTCTGAAGGCTGCTGGAAAAATGGGCAAATAAAGGCTGTAAGCCATCAACATTTCTGATTCTTAGCCACAGCCAACTAAAAAAGAAAATGTGAGGGTTTCCTTTTTACTGATATTTAGTTGATATTACTGTTTTCATTTTTTTGTTTTTATTTTTACAATTTTGCTTCATTACCAGTAAAGAGCGAGTATCCTTCTATCAAATGTGTTGTGGAGTGGGAGCTGAGAGATAAAGACAACAAAGACCTGTTCTGCATCCGATTCCCAGTTCAGATTGTGAGCTAAACCACCATAATAGAAGAACCTCAGATGAGCTGCTTTTAAGAAGGGATTCAGCTTTGAGTAAAAAAAAAAATAATAATACAAAATCTAATATCCCTGGTTCTTGAGACTTTTATCTAAGTGGGTTGCTCTGTGGGGAAAGGCACATTTTACATTTATATTACTGTATGTTTTAAAGTCTCTATACTCCAGTTAATGATGAATCACATACTAAATTAGTTGACGATTATTGAAATAATTAATTAATATGATTCATTTTTTTCAGCCCCAGATGAAATACATGAGATGGGCTACACAGAGTAACTACAGCCCAGATGTTCAACTTTTATAGTGAAGTTAATATTTTAATGAATGTATTATTTTGCTTGATACAGAGAGAGAATAGTAGGTACAAATATAAGAGTGGGGTTTAACTCTGCACAATTGTATATCTTCAAAAGAAAATACTGTATTTACCTTCTCTCTTAGTCGTTCAAATGAAACCGTTTTCAAAGTGGAAAACAGTCCTAATTCCACATTCATCAGAGCCGGTAATACTTCAAACATTGATAAACAGCATCTAATGAGTGTAGAGCTTATAACATTTTTATTAATGGAGCAAAATATTGCTTTTCTCTTTTAACAATGAATTCCTCTTATCAGTACGGATGCTCACATCCAGCATAAAAAAGGGCATGCATATTGCATAGCACCAATGACACCAGACCAATAGTGTCCCTACCAAAGTTCAAATCAAACCTACGCCCTTGCTGTCATTGTACCAATGCCTGCTTTGTGGAAACATGGACCACAAGTCAGTTTACTCCGGAAACCTCTTCAAGTGCTTTCAGTTATTTAGAACTGTTAGGGTTCCAGTGTCTGAAGTCAGAAAATTATCTGAACTTTCTCATGATATTCTAATCTTTTTAAGTGTACCTGTACATGTATGTGCTACTCTAAGACACTTCTTTGGTTATTAGTGTGAAAAGCTAAGCTTAGTTCAACTAATACTTCTTCATTATTGCTTCTTAACTGTGATTTAACTCTATTCAGGTTATGGTTCTAGAAAAAGAGAATTTGTGAAATTGTTCTCTTGAAGCACTTTTATTTTTTTTCAAACATGCAGCATTAGTGCTTGAACAGCTTCATGTTTTCTAAACTCCTTTTGCTAGTTTAACCATATCTCCAGTACAAACAAATGCTTTGTGTCAATAATCCATTAAAACCTACCCTTCATCCAATACAAATGATCATAGATCGAGGCATGAGGGTGGATTTTAATAAACTGTTGGCAAAAATAGAGCTTCTGCATATTTCAGAAGGATTTGTGAAGAATCTGGTCCCTCTACATCTATGCTTTGCTTTGTAGTCCCCTAACCCATCAGTCTCACACAGATCCGAATCACAGGAGGACGAACTCGCTATGAGGGCCGCGTGGAGGTGCTGAGCTCCGACTCTAATGGGACTGAGAGCTGGGGTCTGATCTGTGGTGAGACTTGGACCACTAAGGAAGCCATGGTGGCGTGCAGGCAGCTGGGGTTGGGCTACGCTAACCAGGGCTTGCAAGTAGGTTACTAACCCTACCAGAACTAACTTACTGCTGTAAAGCAAATATTTGCATTCTTATAGTATATATTGCACATTCAAATTCAATATACTGTCAAGAAGGGAAACAGTGTGAGGCAAACTTTTTTGGTCAAGAAGTTCTTTAAAGTTGTCCTGTGTACCTCTTACAGAACCAGTACAAAGCAGGTTTTGGGTCTGGGCTTCTCTTTTTTTAAGATATCCAACAAACTACTGTAATGATTTTTAACAACAAGAATTAGATATCTGAATTCCCTGCATATTTGCATAAAAGCATACAGATGGTGCATGTCCAGGTATATTTGGTCCCATATCAATAATACTTTCCGGTTGATCCACATTATAATCCAAATTATAATCGTTAATAAAGGACTAAATGCATATGTATTTAAGTAGTGTATTGCATTTCCAGTGTGTTGCATATCCAGTCCAAACTGATTCATTTAGAAGTCAAAATATTCTTTATTTTAAAATGGAAAATAATTGATAATAATCGATTTAAATTAGAATAGAGACATATTTGCAACCATAGAAAAGAACAAAAATTCCATACTTCTGAACTTCCGGTTATCTAAATTTACTGAGGTAGGTTCCTGTAGAACGTTCTTAAAAAGATAAAATTCAATCCCTTAAGCCTAATATCAATCTGTTGTGAATGGTTACAATGATTTTATGTAATCTTTTTTGCACTGTCCAAAAAAAACATAGGTCTTCTTCTTTGCAAATTATTTTTGAAAAGAAAACTCATAAATCCATTTCTGAGGTCAAACACAACAATAAAAAACTAAGTCAACTGTTCGTGAAATGAGTGCATTTTCCCTTGATTTAAGCAGAAAAGTAAGCCAATTTTTTGTTGCAGTAATTTAAAATAAGAAATAATTTTGTAATGCATAATATCTAATTAACTTATTTCATGGAGATAATTAATTTTCATTTCATTGGCAGATCATCTTATTTATGTTCCCAAATTAAGGCCAAAAACACCTATTTTAAGAAAGTCTTACTCTTTTTAGATCAGTTTTTGCAGTGTGGTGAATCCAGCCTCTTTAGCAGCAGCATTTCGAGAGTGTTTACTGTCATGTAATAATGTGTCTGGCTTGGCAGCAGCAACTAAAAAGCCTCTCTCAGTTCAGACACCCAGGGGAATCAAATGGTATGAGCTAGTAACGGTTTATGTCTCTGCATTTATATGCATATTTACGACAATGGAAGTTATGTTGTCTACTAGTTTACATAAAGACTTTTTAGTCCAAACATTGAACTGGACACAGTTGCATTTTATTCCAAGAAAAATGATCAGGCATGAGCATTAGTATATGTCAGTATTATTGTAATTTTATATGCAATATATACTTTTCCAAGCATGCAACATTGTTTCTCAGGCCTGTTATGTGTAAAAAAAAAAAAAAAAAAAAAAAAAAAAACTAAAACAGGGATCATAAAAAGCTTTTACTCCAACTGAGTGTTACTCATCTCCATAGCTACGTGGTGACCTCATCTGGAAACCACGCTGATCTCCTGGCCTCATAAAGACTAACCAAAGAGCTGCTTCCACAACACATTTTCCACTGCCTGAGGACTCCATATAAACACTGGGTAGTCTGAGTTTAGATAGTTCGCAGACAGGACAGGAAGTGTGTCCCCAGTCTAACTCCCAGCAGGACCTTTCTGCAGATCCGGATAGTGGGCGGCAGAAGCAGTTATGAAGGCCGGGTCGAGGTTCAGGTTGGGTCCAAGTGGGGCACAGTGTGCAGTACAGGCTGGACCACAAAGGAGGCCATGGTGGTTTGCAGGCAGCTAGGGCTCGGCTACTCCATGCATGCTATCACTGTAAGTAGGACCAAAATATCAACCTATAAAATGTGTTCTATTAATTTATTCATGCTCCACTAGAGGAATCACGAGTAAAACGGCAAGATAAAACAACTAATAGAAATGGAATGGATCAATACCGGTACTTTTTTTTACAGCCGATTATATTGTAAGAAAACTAAAGATCTGCATCAAAAGTTCAACAAGGCGCTATGTGAAGAGCTCTGATATTTAGAAATCCTCTTTTGTTTATGGTGATTAAACAGCATGGAGGGGAAAAAAGGCATAAGGCTGCCACAATATTAGAAAAAAACATGTTTGATTTGAATAAATACTGTATGAATTTTGTGACAGCAACAATAAAGAAATCTAACAGTCTGGGTATTTGTGAAAATATAAACTTGGATTTCTGATTCCTAAAATGGCATTTATCATAATAAATTACACTTTAAATCCTCAAAATAAAGTCAAATTGTAAAGGCATGAAAACAGTGTGTGATACTCTCTGACAAAAATAATCACACCCCTTAAACTTTTTACGTTGTATCCATTGTACATAATGGTCTAGCATAAGAAAGCACATAACTCTTACGTGGGAAGGAAAGGAAACATGCTTTAAAAATACAAATAAAAAAATGCTGAGTGAACATGTGCAGGCCCTACTTATTCATTAGCTTGTAAAACTGACTTTTCGTGTAATAACAATTAAAAGGATTTTAAAAGTTTGTCTTAACTCCAAAGGCAAACATCCACAGACTGGATATTTTTAGCCATTTGTAAATCAGAAACAACTTTTACGGCCAAGTTTTGGTGCACAAACCAACAATCTGACTTTAGTTTTGCACAGCTTGTATCTTTATCAACTGTACAAACAAAAAACATGGAATATAAACAAATGATTAGAAGAAATAAGAGTATCAGGTTGAAAATAGGATGATAGCATTTAGAAGAAGCGTGTGACTTCATAACGTCTTTTTCTTTTGTAAAAAAAAAAAAAAAAAAAAAAAAAAAAAAGAGGACACCAGTTTAAACAGTGCAAAAGATGTTGGTAGGGAAGCGTCCATCTACTCTAGCTATGAGATGTACAACCATAAGGTAAAAGTTTGAACAGCCTCGAACCAGGATGTGTGGGGCCAGCAGAAATGCTAGCTGCTCAAGTTTTGGCCCTAGACTTGTACAGGACATGGATGGAGGGAAAGCTAGCCCCAATAATCCTCCCTATAGACCTAATTTTATCTTGCAGTTTGACCTGTGTTGTTTCATAGATGAGCAAAACCACAAGGAGATGGATGTGCGCAAAACAATCTAAATGTTGCCATCGTAGAAAAACCACCTCAGGTTAATAGAAAGGGAATTTTCTAGGTACCCACCCTCATCTCCACTGTTTTTAGGGGGGGTTAGATCCAGATGGTTCTAAGCACAGTTTGTCTAGTTCCCAGATCAGACCAGTAACAATGGCGTCTTCTCCAAACCACAGGAATTTCCTCTATGCAGAGTCTTTCTTGAGGTTCTCATCAGAGTATTTCCTAAACATTGACAAAATCATTCTGTCATTTGAACCGAAAACAAATCGCTCCTGCTGATTGTTTGTTTAAAGACTTTTTTTTTTGTTTGAGAAGGGGGGGAACTTCTTCATTAGGTCCTTTGCAGCCACTATCTTTCATAATAGCCCATGCGATTTTAATTCTCATCAAAGTACATAAGTATTTTGCATTTAGGGCCAAAAGTTCCAGTCTGGTTTTGTCTGACCAGAGCAGCTAGCTCCACATGTTCTCTGGTTCTCCCTCTTGGCTACTGATATTCTACATGCAGAGCTTCTAACAGCTTTGTTTCATTGACAGTTTTCTTATCCCATTCTTCTATGAAGGCACAGAACTAATAGTTGCCATATTGGACAGATTCTCTTTTAAGAGCTGGTGTTCTCTTTGCAGTGTTCTTCACTGGAAGCTCTGCTCTAGTGTGATAAAGGGTTGGACTTTTGAGTAAAGCCTCAGTCCTCAATGCAGCCATCTGGCATCTAAATCCAGCACTGAAACATTTGCAGAATGCTTATCTTTATTTCTTGTTGCATTACTTTGAAAATAAAAGCCACTAAAGCCAAAACAGACAAATGATAAGAAGTTATTTTTGCAAGACATTTTCGGTTTAGACACAGTGCAAAAAGGGGTGTCCGAGTTATTGTAGTGTAAAGTTGAAGACTCTAAGAAGTTACCTCTCAAACAAAGTAACAGTTACCTCCTTTAAAAAACTTTATCAAAATATTCCTTAAGTTACAAAAATAACACTTAAATGGGTCATTTATTCAACTAATTTCTACCATGTGTACATTTGTACCCCTGTAATCAGAGTTTAAATCCAAGATTTTTTTTTTACTCTTGGTAAAAATCCAATAAGTACCAGTATATGAAGAGATTTCTTTGCAAATTTTCTACTCCTGCCACTCACTAATTTAGACAATGTCAAGATTTCAATGATAATAAAAAACTAGGATGTTTTATCAATTTGGGTTCCGAATTTATGGGGTGTATTTGGTTCCATTATTGTTGCAAGCAAAGAGAATGTTTTGTAAATAAAAAATTTGGGGGGAAAAATTTATGAAATTAGAGCATTTTGCTGTTTTCTCAGAATTATTCTTTTTTCATAGTTCAGTTTTTCTCATTTTTTTTTGCACAAATTTAGTTTATGTTTTTTACATTTTCTTATGTATTGTTATTCATGTTTGTCACATTGAGGTTTATTGATTGCATTCCTTTCAAACTGTGTTTTACAGATCCCGTTCTCTATAACTCTGGCAAGCGGGATTTGCTCTGAATTAAGATGCATTTCTACTGGTCTATATGGACATTAGAAGCAACATTTTTATTGTTCAAGAGCAATCGTTGGTATTGGGCTTGAAGGGATGAGAATGTGAAACCCACTTAAAACCGGAGAGACTCACATAGTGGAAAGTTGCAGCTAGAACAGTTTTTACTAAGATGACTGAAAGAAAGTCTTTGGCGCCCGGACCCCGGCAGAAGACTTTGATGCTGTAAATTGACATATGATTGGAATTTTCTCATGAGCTTAATTTTAAAAAGGATACTATTCGTTTAACTCAATCTAAAAACAGAAATTCAGAGGGATAAAAACTGTTAAAAGACACTGAAAAAATACAATTTTAAAAAATGTTACTGTAAAAAATACATTTTTAAAAAATTATTGAAAAAACTAAATCTGAGAAAAGCAAGAATTTACTCCCAGAACCCTTTAGTCAATTAAATGCTTTTCAGATGTCTTTTCTGGAAAGTTTTTTTTAATTTTATTTCATTTTCCAAAATGTGTTTTTTTTTTGTTTTGTTTTTTGTCTTTTGCTTAGAACAGTAATGAAACTAGATTCACTCCATAGGTTCTAATTAAAGCAAATGGTTGAGCTGGCATTTGTTAAGACACCTCAGGGGCAATGGGCTGATTATTAATGTATGCACCGCTTTGCATATCATTATTTGTAAAGTGCTTTAAAAATTCTGTTTCCTTTTTCTCCCACTTCCTGGTTGATATATTGTGTGTTGGTCCATTGACGTAAAACCACCCCAAAAAAATGCATTAATGTTTTTGAAAGTATTGTGTAAAAACTTAAAGGGATGTGAATAATATTCATAACTTTTAGATTATTATATTAAGAGAGAATAAGTGGTTAAATCAAAATGTTTCATCAATGGGTTATTTTTCAGTATCTTTTAGTCGGAACAGGTTTTATTAATCCTTTTTCGTGATCAGATCTGAATGTTGTCTTCTACAGTGTAGCCAAGTCCTGCACATCTTTCTAAATTACAGCTACACTCAAACTCAACTCCCAGAAGCTCCACTTGTGAATGATTATGTCCTGATTGCTGGGAACTGTTTGATTCTCTTTCTTCTATTCGTTTCTGTCTTTTTTTTGGTCTGCTCCTCTATAAGGAAACCTGGTACTGGGATAGCAGTAATGTCACTGGCATGGTGATGAGTGGCGTGAAGTGCATAGGAAACGAGATGGCTCTGAGTCAGTGCCAGCATCACAAAACGGTCAGTTGCCAGAAAGCAGCCGCCAAGTTCGCAGCAGGAGTCATCTGCTCAGAGAGTGAGTTGAGGCAGCGGCAAGAAATAGATTGTTTTTCAAGTCTGTCCTACATTGTTTCATTGTGAAAAAGATGAAATAGCTCGACAAATGCTTTGAGAAATAAAACTAAATGAGTTGTTTTATATCAATGTTAAGATGTCAATCAATTAAATTAAAAATAAGCATAAAGAATTTAACCTTTTGGGTTTTTTTTTCTCAAATGTATATTTTTAAATGAATGTTTGAAATCCAACATTAACACAACCCGTTGATGGTTTCTCCCTCTGTGTCCAGCGGCCTCCGACCTTGTCCTGAATGCTTCTCTGGTCCAGCAGACGGTTTATGTGGAGGACCGTCCTCTGCACATGCTCTACTGTGCTGCTGAGGAGGACTGTCTGTCTAAATCTGCAGCAAAAGCCAACTGGCCGTACGGACACAGGCGGTTACTCCGCTTCTCCTCTCAGATCCACAACATCGGGCGAGCTGACTTCAAGCCGAAGGCAGGGCGGCACTCGTGGGTCTGGCATGCCTGTCATGGGTAATTATTGATGGATAATTCCAAACAAAATACCAGAGGTTTACAGTTCTCTGGTGGGGGTTAAAATGAATTTTTTAGGAGGTATTTTGAAACCTTTTAGTATCATTGAATGTTGGGATTTGTGTTTACTGTTTTTATTTATATAAACCAAAGAAGAAAACATTGGGTAAAAAAAAAAAAAAAAGAAATATTTGGTTTAAAGTTGTTGATTTATACTGAATAGTAACACTACTACCATAAATACTAGACTTTAGAGAGATTTTATTTGTCATTTTGTTTACACAAGTGTAAAACAAAAAGAAATTTTGTTTGGAAACAGCTCACTGGACAATTTCATCTTTTAACAGTGCAGCCTTGAAAAATAGTAAAAATGACTGTAAATTTACAGTTCTAACAATTTTTTTTATTTATATGAATAATGATAATTATTTATATTAATAAATTGTTGTACTAATAATAATAATAATGATAATATCATGATACTACTACTGATATGACTACTTCTATGATTATTAGTATGAATATTACTATTACTGTTATGACTACTAATTATTCTACTACCACAGCTACTACTAAGACTGGTAGGCCTACTACTACAACAACTACTATAGCTAATGACTGCTAATACTATGACTAATGCTGCTATTAAACCCTCTACTACTTCTATGACTACTAGTACAATTATTACTATAACTACCACTGTGACTATTAATATGGCTATGATTATTACTCTGATTAATACTATGACTACTAATTCTTCTACTACCACAGCTACTACTAAGACTGGTACTACTACAACAACTACAACTACTATAGCTAATGACTGCTAATACTATGACTAATGCTACTATTAAACCCTCTACTACTTCTATGACTACTAGTACAATTATTACTATAACTACCACTGTGACTATTAATATGGCTATGATTATTACTCTGATTAATACTATGACTACTACTAATAAAACAACTATGATTACTTCAGCTAATGACTAACAAAACTATAACTACTAATACTATTAAAACTAGAACTACTTCTATGACCACTTGTACAGTTATTACTATAAATACTATTGCTACTTTTACTACGACTACGATTATTACTATGACTAATACTACTATGACTGCTAACATGTTTACAAATAAAACTGCTACTGCTAGAACTACAATTACTACAAATAAAGCGTACTAATACCATGGCTACAATACTACAAATAAAACTACTACCCCTCTACGACTACAACCATGACTAGTACGATTCCAATTATTACCTTGACTACTAGTGCTATGACTACTAATACCACAACCACTACTACTATTACTGCTATTACTACTATAACTACTCCCACTATTGAGACTACTTCTACTTCTATGACTATAACTAGTACTACTCCAGCTACTACTAGTACAACTACAATTTTTTTCTGCTCAGTCAAGGAAAATATAAAGAAACCCTTTAATACATTCTCTTTCATAAACTTATAAAAAAAGAGATACAAAAATTAAAAGTTGTTTTGTTTGTAGAGATGTATAAATGCTATGTTTTTATAAAGACTTTTAGGACTAATCTAGTCTGCTCAGTGGCACAGTGGGTAGCACTGCTGCCTTGCAGCAAGAAGGTTCTGGGTTCGATTCTTGGCCCAGGGTCTTTCTGCATGGAGTTTGCATGTTCTCCCTGAGCATGCGTGGGTTCTCTCCGGGTACTCCGGCTTCCTCCCACAGTCCAAAAACATGACTATTAAGTTGATTGGCTTCTCTAAATTGTCCTTAGGTGTGAGTGTGTGCATGAATGGTTGTGTGTCTCTGTGTTGCCCTGCGATGGACTTGCAACCTGTCCGGGGTGTACCCCGCTGGATACCCCTCGTGACCCCACTCGGGACAAGCGTGTAAAAAAAATGGATGGATGGACTAATCTAGAGGAATAAGTCAAAACAGTTTGTGTCCAGCGATATTAAAAGCTTATAATGGACCTTAGATCTGTACTAAGATCCCTAAATGAGGGAGAAGCAGCTCTGGCCATAGCAGAGCTATACGAGGCTCAGTATCAGGAAGTAGAGAAACTCAGATTTACAGTTTGCAGCTGTAAGTAGTAGTTTACAGCTCAGATGACAGCTGCTTGTCATATGTCATATATAGGAAAAAAAGTGCCAATGTGTCATGGTTTGGTTATTTATTTAGTTATACATGGACCACTTTTATTCTTCAGTTTCATTCTAATGCATGTCATTCTAATTTTTTTACAGCCACTATCACAGCATGGACATCTTCACCCACTATGACCTGCTGAATGCCAATGGCAGCAAAGTAGCAGAGGGTCACAAAGCCAGTTTCTGCCTGGAAGACACCGACTGTCACGAAGGTGAGTCTTTTGGTTTACCTTGTTTAACTTAAATTAAAAAAAGTCATTATCTTATTATTTGTAAACAAATGTTTGTTTGTGATCGGAAATTCTGAACAAATATATCTGTTTTTATGTGCATTTCTTTCAAAATAGTAAATGGATATTATTTATAACCTTCTCAGTAATTAAAAAAAATCTTTATTTGCTTTACAGCAATCAAAACCTCACTGATTGTGGACTATTGTTTTCTGCTGGTATTTTGGTAATGAGCACCTAGGCCATCTCACTATCGTCAAATTTTTTTTGGCAAGCACGTAGAAATGTTTTGCTTAAGAAAATTTGCATACAAATTTAAACATTTTAAACCAGAAACAAAACTTTTAAAATATTTATTTAAAAAAAAAAGGGTTTATAGAGTAACTTTGCTGTTTTCTCAGATTTTGTTTGTTAAATTTTTTGTTTTCAAATGCATTCTTTATATAATTGTTTTGTATTTTAATACAGATTTACATTTTTCAGATCTTACTTTTTTAAGAAATTATTTATTGATAATTCAATTCATGAAACTCAATCTGAAAAACTTTTTCTTTCAAACGATCGAAAATATAAAATCTGCATTGAAAAAACTAAAACAAATGTTAATTATATGTTAAAAATATATATATTTTTGGAAAAAAAATATTTTTCATAATAACATCTGAGAAAACAGATGCAAACTTTTCACTTTCATTTCTGGATAGATTTATTTTTTTTTTTTTTTTCAATTTATAAAATCTGTTTTTTCAACAGTCACTGATAAATAAATAAATCTTCAGCTACATCCAAATATTTCCAATTAATTTTTAGGCTTGGGCTCTACTAAAAACCTTAACATTAATACCAATTTGAGGGAAAATGCACACAGAAAGCAAAGATAAAACCTAAATCTGCCAAAAGTATTAATAGTTTGGGGCTTATGGGTATTTTAAAACATTTGATGTTTGTGAACAAGTTTAATAATTTTGTAACTAAGTGTTTTTAAATAAAAATTGATTGAATTGATTCTGCTTTAACCCTTTATTCTGATGATTTCATGTACATTGAAACCTGAACAGAGGGAAACTAACTTTTAAAACATGCAGGGCAGTGTGCCCTACAGGTTAGGTTTGGAAATCCCTGTTTTTGAACAACAGTTCTAACATCCAATGGATTCAGGCCAATTTGCTGTAAATCCAGCACAGCAAGGCCACAGTCATTAAATCAGGTATTAGTAACAACAACCTTGTGGTATAGTGCTGGAAAATAAAGCATAAAACAGAGAAGACATTGAGCTGACACCAGTACATGACATTGCTAAGTAAGGTGGTGGGAACATTTACTTGGATCTTCCTATTAACTCCCACCATTTCTCTGTATTGTTAAGGTGTTTCCAAACGGTACGAGTGTGCTAACTTTGGTGATCAGGGCATCACTGTCGGTTGCTGGGATTTGTACCGCCATGACATTGACTGCCAGTGGCTTGACATCACAGACGTCAAACCTGGAAACTATATCATGCAGGTGGGTACATCAGTCTAATTGTTTATAGAAGTATATGTGATAAGCTCAGCTTCATTGCTTCAAGGAACTCAGAGCAAGACGGAGAACCACAGAGGCTGTAGGTGTTGCTTACCGGAGGCGGTCTGGAACTGAGCGGATGAGGAATTTTAGAAAGTCAGCTGCTGTTTCAAGATTACTCTCTGCTTGGAGTGTTTATCGAATTAAATAGTAGGGGTCTGAGTATTGGAGCTTGATGAATCCCACAGGTTGAGATCATCCTAAATTTAATTATCCAGTGTTAAAGTCACTTTTGATGGTGTTTCAGCTTGACGCTGTTAACAAAACATATTTTTTTTATTTAGGGTTGTGCGAATACATCCCAAAAAGTCTGAAACCTAACAGAGAGTGAACAGAATGTTTAATTTTTTTAATTAATTTAATTAAAGTTACAGTGTTAAAACTCTCCTTATCCATCTTTGTGTTTTCCACCCACTAAGGTTGTGATCAATCCAAATTATGAAGTAGCAGAGAGTGATTTCACAAACAATGCTATGAAGTGCAACTGCAAATACGATGGACATCGGATTTGGCTCCATAACTGCCACCTCGGTAACTAAAAACAGCCAATAACATTCAAACTTAATGTCAGACTTGTTGAAATTTATGAATGCTGCCCCTTGTCTGTTGTTCTTAATGTCTCCAGGGGATGCATTCAGCGAGGAGGCAGAGAGGAGATTTGAGAAGTACCCTGGACAGATAAACAACAGGATTTCCTAATTTTCCAGGACTCACTGCAGACCAAAATGCCGACGCCAGCTGATTGATATAAATAAACGTGTCTAGTTTATACAGAAACACACAATCCCTTTGTTTACAGGTGCTCACATTGATCCCAGCCACCATATTTCTTCATAGTTATTATACTTGAAAATTCAAGTGGTAATGATAATGTCCTCAAGTGTAATATGGGTTATACATGTTTTTTTTTACAAATTAAGTTTTCATAGTCACAAAGTCTAATTGATGTACAGCTTTTGTTGAGTGTTTTAGTTGCATATCTGAATGAAGCTTTCATTTTCATTTTTTTAAACAATAAGTAGGTTGATTTTATTTGCTTTTATTACTCAATTTCCAGCTATTGACCTTGATAAAGTTTAATTTGCCTTCAGTAATCTGAACAGAATCTAAAGGTTCTGATATTTTCCACTGTCTTGAAAACTGTTTTAAGCCTTCACTTTTCAACAGTTGGCACGTAACATAAAAAGTTTTAATATTTTATATTGGGGTTTTATTGATGGACCAACTGACAGTGTTTGCTGTGAAGCACAGTAGCAGCAGCATCATGCTGTGGAGTGGTGGCTCTATAACATTAAAAGTTTACTTTTTTTTTTTTTTATCAAGCTAACGGGGTATAAAGACTGCTCCAAGGCATTGTTCCTGATTAAGAGAAGACATTTAATGCAAAAACTGGTCTGAATATAAGAAAAATATTCTCAAGATAAGTGAATTTCAAGAAAAATTGACTTAGATTTATTTTTTGCTGTGTAGATTTCTCAAACTGTGCATAATGTTTTTTTTTTCTTTTATTTAAATTAGAATTTTTGCTCTAATTTAAACAAAACAGTTCAAACACCTTTGAAAAACATCCAGGTTTTACCAGTCTGCCATCCTACATTTGTACTAGCAGTGTTTTACTACTTTGTTGGTGAGGACAGCTGCAATATTTCATGAATGTATTTATTTCCATTATAAAGGTGCTCATAAGCAGTTTGTGTCTATGAGCAGTTCTTTTAAGCTAATAAGCCCCTGAGTTTATTTGACCCGTCAACGTCTCTCAGCACTCCCGAAAAAGGAAAGACTGCCTTCATCTGACAAAGTCTATCTATGATGATATAATAAGCACATATAACGATGCTCTGAGTGAGATATAAACCTGCTGCCAGTTGGTGCCAAGGGGGTTCAACCCAATCCACTGCTAATCCCAGTCTTCAATAACGTAGATTGGTAATCCCATTAACCTCTTCTACCAATCACATTATCCACGGGCCCAGATTTACACCAGATTACTCACACAAGCTGCCAATGTTTCATGTTTCTATTCTCTGCCCTGCTGTGGCAGATGTCTTGAGTTTTACTTTCCTATCACCCTTCATCCCCTAAACATGCTAAGAAAGAAGAAAGAAAGAAGAAAACTTTATTATTTTGAAATAATAGGTTTATAATTGCGAAATGCACTAAAAGAAGATGTGAAGAATTATGAGAGCTTCAGAGCGTGTCTTCTGGAGCTAAAACAGCAGAACTGCAGGATGTGATTGGGATGTGGTTCTTCGTTTATAAAAAATTTAGTAAGTGTCTCATTATTGTTGTAAGCAAATAACACATTTTGTAATGGAAATTTGGGAAAAAAGAAATGAAACTTTGAAAAACGTCTTAATTAGGAAAAAAAGGTTTTAAGAGAAACTCTTCTTTTTTGTCATATCATATCTTTTCAAATTATATCTGATAAAATTTCTGTTTATTAGACTCAATTTTTAAAATTGCACTGTTTCAAACTGCGTTTTATTAGATCAAACTTCTTCACTTCTGGAGGTGAGCTTTTCTCTGATGTGAGCAGCAAAGACGCATCTCTATTTGCCATAACATTTATATTGTTTGATATGCTTTAAGGGTGAGCGTTTTTTTATTGGGCTTGAAGCATAGATAACGAGATCTGTAAAAGGCATTTGAAAAGAATCTTAAAAGCAAAAATGGAAGAAAAAAAAATGTAATACCCAATCTATAAAACAAAATTTCAAATAAATATAAATTGGTGAACATGCTTAGTGTTTATATTGTGTTTTAAGTTAAGAGAATGTGATCTGTGAAACACGATTTGAAAAGAATGTAATTTGTAAATCTGAATAAGACATATAAAAAAAAGAGTAACGTATAAAAATCGGCAAAGAAAAAAATATATAATTTGAATAGTCAGCAAAGCTACTCTCTTACAACAGAGTATTATGAAAATAAAGTTGTTAGATTAGGACTTTATTTGCATAATATTACTAGAAAAAAAGAACTCATAATAGGTGATTAAAGTCATGATAGAATAAAGTCATCACATTATAAGTCCTTTCAGAAACAATATTTGAAGAATTTCTGAGCAGAACAGCCAAACTACCAAACAGCAATCTGAGCTCGGTTTTCAAACATAATAGCCTAATAATTTGATGCTAAAAGGTTTATTATTTCCTTATTTGTAAAACTGATTTGAAAGTGTAACTTCACAAGATTCTCAACAATCATCATTTCAATCCAGGGGATGATGCCGCAGGACTTCTCATTAAATAATATTGATTTTACTCTCATAGCATTACGACTAACCTCAGAATGTTACAACTTTAATCTAGGAATATTATGACCTTTTTTCCCATAATTCTACTACTACTGCCTGTCAAAAATGGGGAGAGTGGCAGCCTAGTAGTTGGGCGATGTAGCTTGGAACCCTGAGGTTCTGAGTTTGAGCCCCGATCCCACAGACTGCCTCTCTGGGACTCTGAGCAAGATCTTTAATCCCCAATTGGTCCCCAGGCGCCCCACAATGGCAGCCCACTACACCCCAAAGGGATGGTTTAATGCAGAGGTCAATTTCTCCAATGTGAGATCAATAAAGTTTAATTATCATTATTATTCAATCATACTCTCTAAAGCATTTTTTTTTTCAAAACATGTATCCTGGATTGCCTGTTTTTCAAATTTCCATTTACAAAATATGTTCTTTCTTTGCAACAGTAGCGGATTAAAGCTCACTCCATAATGGATTTTAAATAGCTCGTTTATCCCCTGCTTTGTTTTCAAGTTGATTAGAAGCAAGATGTTCAAATGTTGAAACCATGTGGTTCCAAAAGAGAACTTTCTGTTTTAATGTTCTCTCCATTGGTGTGATGGACTAACATCATATTTCAGCAGACAATTACTTTGTAATTTAAATAAAAACTGTTTTCACATGAGGATATAGCACATTTAAATGGGATTTAAGCCTGGATTAAAACAGGGCATCATAACTTCTTTATGGTGGCCTTTGGATCACTAATTTTAATTGTCATTAAGTAAAGAAATAACAGCAGGGAAACAAATTTAGTGTTTTTTTTAACAATGGGTTAAATGGGAATGTTTTTATCTTTAGTGAATTAAATCATTTATAAAATATATATATATATATATATTTATATATATATATATTTATTTATTTATTTTTTTAGTTACCCAGGTTATATTTGTCTAGGGTTTGTTGTTTCATATGGGCGTAATTCAGCACCCTCAGAAGAAGCAGTTACCGTCTAAACCAGAGTTTTGAAGCACTGACGACCTCAAACAGAACATCGCAATTTTAAATGTTAGTATATTAATCATAAAGTAACAATAAAACACTGTGGTTAATTAGTCGCATGAACTAACATTTAAGATGTAATTTACAGAAATAGGTTTTTAGAGGGGAGAAGAAAAAGTGTCGCTGCAAGTCATCTAGGAGTCCCATAAGTATTTAGAGATAAACAACTAAACTGTTTAATGTAGGTCTTAAAGTAAGTATATATTATTTATAGGGCTGCAACTAACAATTATTTTGCAAATTAATCTGTCAATTATTTATTTGATTAATTGATGGATTAATAATCAGATAGCAAAAGGTTGCTTAAAGATGTTTTTTTTACTAAATCAAACCAGATGAAACTAAAACATTTCCACTTGAGAAATTCTGGAAAGGGCATGTGGACAAAAAGTTTTTATCTTAATTACAAAATGTTTATATATTTTTTTAGTTTTTGGTATAATTACTGCTCTAAGTAGGTTTCTCTTTCAGCTGAAGGCATGTTTTACTGTCTCTATAATCCATTTAACGATTCAGCGATTATTAAATTAGTTGATTAATCATAATTAAGCCGATTGTTTCAGCCCTAATTATAAGTATTAAAGGTTGGCATGAGGGACATTGTTTTTTATTTTAAGAGGAGGACCACATGTTGATCAGTTTGCTAATGTTGCAAACTTTAAACTTAAGCCATAAATCCTTATTGATGACCTCTAAACGTCTGTCAGCCTATAGACAAATATTTACTAGCAGGTTTAAAGTTGTGTCATAAAAAACAATGTATACTGTATAAAACCTGATAATTAGGTACTTTGTTAGAAAAACAAATAAAAAATAAATAAAAAAACTAAAATGTCATAAATATGTTGCTGACAATTCATTCTGGGATTTCATACATAATTAAAAAACAAAATAAATACAGTCTAGCATTTTGGTTACATCTCAGGTTTTTATACTTTAATTCCAAAAAAAGAGTCAGCAAGCTGCACATGTTTACAATAATAAACCCAGCATGAATGAGGGAGCTGTTTAGATGATTGTTTTGTGGTAACAACACAAGGTGGATAAAAAGAACTACCCAGAGAGTTGATGTGGAAACTATTAGCTGGAGGTCCAGATGCGTTGGTTGCCAGAATTCCCAGGGAGTTTTCTCAGGATTCTGGTCCATGAAGCATTTTTTTGCATTCAGGTTCTGGATGGAATGAACCACTGAAGTCCCAAAGGAAAATAATAAACACCACGAGTAAATCAGCTGGATCACTGCAGCACTGTCCTTTTGACTACTTTGCCTTCTTTATCAACGGCAAAGTTATAGTTCTTAGGATTATCCAGTGCCTCTTCGATTCGCTGATCCAGGTTCTCCAAGGTGATAAAGTTCTTAGCCTCCTCCTGGTAAAGAAAAAGACATAAAATAAATGGTGAGATTTAACTGACAGGTGGGATTCTGACTTTGAGTGTGTTCCACCATCTACAAATATACCTGCAGCTGTAAAATCTCCTTCTCTTTTTGCCTAATGAACTCCTGTAGTTCCTCTTCACGCTGAACGGCAGCTTCCATTTTCTTGATCTCAGCTTCCTCCTCCTCCTTCTGGATCCTTGAAATTCTAAAACAGGAGAAATGAAGGAAGTCGTTTGTTACAACGAGGCAACATCCCCATCTTGAATACTCAGTATGAGGTCGTCCTCACCTGGCTTTAAGCATCCGGAGGTTTTCCTGGTTGTTCCAGTCCATCAGAGCTCGATGCTCCTCCTCCTCCTGCCTCGCTCTCTCTTCCGCCTGCGAACCCGTCTCCTCTTCGTATTTCTTACGCAGCACCTCTTCCTTGAACTCCAGGCTGGCAAAGGTAGAACAAGCTGAATGTTTCAACCACAGTCAAGACCGATTTAAATCCTAATATTAACTAGAAAAGCCTAACTGATCCTTCTGTATAATAGCCACTAGTGATAGACTAATACATTAGCCGATACCTGCATGTGATTCATCAGTGCATCCAGTGTCTATGCCTTTAGACCGATTCCTCCATTTGCTATCCAATGTGAATCATTTTCCTTGACTTGTTAAGAAATATTTCTCTTTTGTTTACACTGAGACGTGTTTAACATCAAGGAAGTAAATTGAAGAAGAGAAGAAATATTAGACTAAATAATCAGCCCAAAAAAAGAAAAGCGGGAGCATATATCTGCATCAGTGCTTCTAGATGAAAATTACAAGGGGGGGCCAGGATTGGGCCAGCATTTATTCATGGGGGCAAAGAACACAACAATAAAACATAAAAATAAACAAAGAAGGCAAGATTGCACCATTTAGTGTATTAAGTAAGCCTCATAACCAAGGATGCAGACCCCTCATCTAACAGATGAAAACTGTGATCCTATCTTGGTGATGCTTAAAGCTAACTGCTATTTCTAAACAATCGCTAAAGGTAAATTTTAAAGGAGTAATAATAAAATTGGTCAAAGAGATGAATCAGCTACAGTCTCTTCTGTCAGCACATATCATATTGATTTAGTGTTACCCTACAAAGACTGATCTTAAAAGCAAAACATTCTTAAAATAAGTGTATTTGCTATTAATTTGAACAGGTTATTGTGAGGATCTGCCAAATATGCGAGTATATGCTGATAAAAATAAGATAAATATTATGCACTTGAAATAAGTTTACTTTTTCTCTTTTGTTATTTTTAAACGTAGATCATCTTATCTTAATTGGCAATTTGTCTAAATTTCCAGCTGAAATCAAGGGGAAATACACTTATTAGAAGAAAAAAATGTATTTATTTATTTATTTAATTCATTTTTTTTTTATTATTATTATTATTTTTTTTATGTGTAGTTTATGTTTCCAGTGCAGGGGCCAGGGCCAGCTCTTCAGGGGCACTGGCCCCTGTCTAGATCCCATGCATATCTGCTAGATATGCATATATAGGTCATGTCTAGTAGATATGCAGGGGGAAAAAAACCTTTGATAAACTGTGTTTTTTTTCCCAACGCAATATGCAGAATATATTCATTTTCATCTCATTAACTTGTAATTCTTAGTAACAGTCAGGACTGAACTTACCGCAGTGCCCTCATTATCAGCTCGTACTCCGAGTATCTCTCCTTGAGGACCACCATCTCCACCGGATCGACGGAGGGAGGCACTTTAATCCGTCCTTCTTTGGACTTGGCCACCGGGTCAGTGCGGGACTTTCGTCCGCGTACAGCCTCCACGAGCACGGCCGTCCTGGGCGCGAGGAGCCGGGCGGCCTGGAGGCTCCTCCCACCGAGAACCTGGAACATGTCCGCAGCTATAAAGACCTGTTTGGCAAACGTTGCTGGAGTGAGGAGTCGGTAAAGCGGCGAAGAAAGTTAACATTGAGGAACAAATGTTACAGAAGCAACATGGCAGCCATTTTTGTGACCTATCACAAGCGGAAGTAATAAAAGAGGGTCATTTTATCACTTTACTGCCACCTGTCGGCAAAATGGTGAACAGCGTTTCAAATCGTTAAGACATTGGGCTGCCAATGGAGGAAAAATTTCATTTTTTTTAGGAAATAAGTGTCTTATTGTATTTAAGTTTAAGTCAAATGTTTGAACAATTATTTAATGCAAAAAAGACATAAGACGTTGTTGAAGACAATGCAGTGCAGTGTTCCTATTCTCAAAGAAATTGGCAACACTACTTGACAAACAATTATTTTAATCCTTTTTCCCCATTCCTTTAGGAATTTGAGCATAATGTGTATATTCTAAGAAAGAAAAAAAGTGAACACACAAATTAGTAATAATACCTTAAACCTACAGTATTTTGTATTAACTCCAAGTAAAATAGTTAGTTTATGTAACATTAAAACCACATGCACCCATGCAGGCCTATTGGTGTTGGCATTTAATGTGCGTGTCCAAAAAGTAATAGATAACTGCATAATGAGAGGAAAATTACACACTCTTTTTTTTTTTTAAAGCAATCTAAATGTGAGCAAACAGAGAGTACAGTAAAGATTAAAGAACACACCAGATATTTCAGAGATAAATTTGTGGAGTAATTTACTTGTATTGTTAAATATGTCATGGAAACCCTAACAAGAAATGTGCATCCATTGGAAAAGAGTGACTGACTATATGAGAAATTAACCAGTTGAGGAACCAAGAGGTCGATGATGCCTCCGGAAGAACAGCAGTGATCCACAATTCAATCGATCATAAGAGAGGAGTTTTTATGCAAGGCTATTAAAACATAATAAGCATATTGAGGAAGGTGCCGTTTGGAGATTAAACTAAAGCTGGACTTGTTCTGCAGTATGCTGTATGCATGGAGAAAACATAATCTGGAAACATCATGTTGTAGACTTGCCTTCTTTATTCAGTCTTGGAAGAAAACCCATTTGTGGCTGCAAAAAGCTGAGACTGCGGTAAAAATGCACCCTCTGAAAATTCACTATAAAACCTATCCCATCATGGCTTAGAAAGTCCAAGACTTTTAAAAAGTATGTTCAAACATAATATATTTTGGGATTTAACAAAGAGGGACCAGGTGTGTTGTATTTTTTAACTATAAGATAATGCCTGTCTGTTTATACATATACTTAAGGCGTTGGTAATACAGATTGTTTCTATTTTTATCTTATCACTGAAGGCTTTTTTTTTTCTATTTTTAGAAAAAAAACCTCGGTGCAAGTGCATTGGGTTTATAACTCCATAAATAAGCTTGCCGCTTTAGAGGCTTTTTTCAGAGTATGCTTTAGACCGAAATAGCTCAAAAAGACCCAGATGGAATTTATAACCTCAAGACTGACATAATTTCTCTGGACTTGTCACGTATTAGTTTATAGTTATCATACCCCAAAATATACAATGCTGTCTATTCTGTTTCATTCCTTTGAGTTGAAAGTTATTGTTAGAAGTAATTTATTATGTTACAGGCCATCAATCAAGTCAGTACAAATACATCAGTCCTTTGGTGTCAGTCCCCATAATAAAATATATAATTGGAAAGGCCTGTGATTTTTAATAAGTCTGACACATACTAAATAAACCTGTCAGGTGACAAACAGAAGGTAGCCATGGAATATTCCATCTTTATGACTTAAATAAGCATTTAAATCTAAAATCAAACTTTAGCCTCTTGCTCACATATACTTAAGAACATCTTGAATGCAAATTAATACACAAATACACTGTAGCAGGTCAGTTATGTGTTTATTTAACTGGTTGTTGGTTGTTACAAGGACACCGCTTAATGGTGCCAACTTTGTACAGGTTTCACAGGTGTAAAGTACTAATTAGATCCAAAATCAACTGACAGTCACAAAGCTCCTGTAGAGAGATTGGTCAGGCTGATATTTTTATCTTTGAATGACTTTGTAGAGCATATTTGGCCCAAACGTCAATGAGACAAATGAATCCTACAGGGAAAAGCCTCAGAATTTCTTAGAATTTATTGGTCTTGAAAACTGGTAGTTTATTTGAAAGCCAAAGAGCCAATTAGCATTAATAAAAAGATTTGCCTAAGTCCTGCCATATCATTGAACAGAAATGGTTGATCACCATTGGCTTAAGAAATGTTTTAAGTTTACCGGATCTACATTATTACTGCAGAACCAGGTGCATGGCATTGTTTGACTTATTGGTTGAGTTCCAGGTGAAAAGATAGATAAGACCCAAACATTGAGAGACAACTGGAATTCTTTCCTCCTCCTTCACAAACAGTTGGTCAAATGTTTGGATACAGAGGCATCGAGAACGTTCAGCGGCTAACTCAGCTGCTTGGATCTTAGCATGATCCACAGAGAGAAACTCAACCAAAACGATACAGCCACCTGCCATCGTTACGTAACTAATGCAGAGCACCAACTCTGCCTTGAACAGGTTACTGTCTTCATGATGTGTGGTGTCAGAACGTGTGTAGAAGAAGGGGGACTTCTTATGGACCTCTTGTTAAGCACAAGGGCACTGCTGTCTTGAGAGAGATGAGTTTCTGAGTTTGGTCTGTTTCTTGGGAGAGTTGATGAATGGGTGTTTTGGAGAGAAGGACATTAGAAGAAATGTCAAGGGAGAGCAAAGAGAGTAAATAAAGGTGGGGAAGAACATTTTAAGGAAGAGATCAACAGGGTTTGAAGAAATAGGTATTGCGCTACGCTGACGACATCCAGGATTAATTTATAGCTGCGAGGGAAGGGTAGGTGAACCGAATCTCCTCCCCCTCCAAGAGTTTCCTGAGAGAAAAAAGGCAAAACAGAGGATATGTATCGGTATGTATCCTGACTAAGTTTGCTTAGAGCAGACAAAATTATTTCTCACCTGTATGCAGCTATTTCAATGTCAAGGGCCATTTTCACATTCAGAAGGTCTTGGTAATCTCTCAGGTAGCGAGCCATCTCCTGCTTCGCTTCAGTAATGTCCTGCTCCAGCTCACTTATCCTCACCTACAAATAGAAAAAAACACAACTGCACTTTTTAACATTCAATTGGAAAGTTGGAATACTGATGACAACGTCATCTGATTGTATTATATGGGGAGGAGCAGGTTAGTTATCAGTTTTACCTGGTATTTTTCCACCTCTTTAGCCTGTGTGTCCTCCAGATCCTCCAGCTGCTTGTTCAGTGAGTTGATCACATTTCGCAGAGCTTCAATCTCTGAGGAGCGGGACTGAAGGAGCCTGCGGTACTCCATAGTCTCCTCCCGGATGGCGTGCACAGCTTCGTTGTTCTTGCTGGCCATCTCCGCCACACTCGCAAACTTGCTCTTGTACCAGTCCTCAGCGGCTTGCATGTTCTTGTTGGCGAGCCGCTCGTACTGCACCCGGATGTCACGCAGGGCGGTGGAGAGGTCAGGTCTGGTCAACTCCACGTCCACGCTGATGTTAGCCACCTGCAGCTGAGCCTGAAGCTCTGCTTGTTCTTCTGCAAAGACTTTCTTCAGGAAGACTATCTCGTCACACAAAGAGACCACTGTGGCCTCCGTGTCACAGTTGTAGAGCACGGTCCTGCTCACCTCCTCCCTGGCTCTCTGCAGGCCCTCCTCTGCATCCAAACGGCGCCTTGCCTCTTCTTCATAGCGTTCCTTCATTTGCTCGTACACGTCCCGCAGGTAGTCCCTCTCTGCCTCCATCTGCAACTTCTCGTTGTTCTCAGAGTCGATCATGGCTCTCAGACTCCGAGCTTCCCCCTCATAGACCCCCTGCAGCCGGGATGGATCATCCTGCCTTCTCCTTAATGCATCCAACTCGGCCAACAGGGCTCGATTCTGCAGCTCAAGGTGCCTCACCTTCTCGATGTAGGTGGCGAAGCGATCATTCAGGTCCACAAGCTGCTCCCTCTCTTGGGACCGCATTTCAAGCAGCTCTGTGTTGATGGAGCTTGCCTGAACAAGATGCATCCTCTGAGGGCCATCTGACAAGGAAGAGGAGGGCATCTTTAGGATCCTTTTTCCAGATGGGGGAGCTCGGGGAGAGGAGTACAGAGAGGAAGATTTGATGGTAGGTCGGGAGCCTATGTAGCTGTCCCAAGGACGTCGGTGAGAGAAGAAGGACTCGTAGCTCATGATGATTTTTGTTGTTGTGGATTTTTAGGTTTTTAAGGAAAAGATGTATGTTTAAGTTTCAGGTTTTTTTTAAGTCCCCCTTGTTCTGCACACCATCAGTGAGGATGTGTGTGCGTTTTGCACTGCACCAGTTCAGTGATGCTGCAGATCCCCAGCCTTTATAGAGCGAGGCTGCTCCCCCCTCCCCCCACAGGGAAACATCACTACTGTCAGCATTTGCCAGACCAATCACAAGCCTCTGCAGTGAAGAGAGGAGGATGGTTTTCAGACTCTCTCTCTCTCTCTCTGCAATGTGTCAGAGCCTGATATTTCAAAGTGGACTTTGAAAACAATGAGTTCTCATTCTTTGCTGGTTCTTTCATTTGATTGTGTTTTTCTCTTCTCTCACTGCAGGTTTTCATAACAATACCTAAAATGAGAAAGAAATAAAATTGAAAAGCAGGGACTAATTTTCACTGCAATCACAGACGCAAGTCATTTGGAAGCATGTGTGTAATGGATTTAATAGACAAATTGAATGAAAACTGTCTATATGATACAATTTCCATGATTTAGTAAAGTTTATATTTGGATTTGGGTCTGTACTTTGACTGGGTCATTCTAAGTCATGATGTATCAGTCAATCAGACAGACAGACAGACAATCAGACAGACAGATCCTTCCTGCCAACAGCTATCAATACCTACAAAACCTGGATTAAAAAAACAACCATGAGTTACTGCAACATTTAGTTTCCCTTAAGGATTAAAAAAGTATAGTATGTTTCAAATAAAATATCAGAAATCTATACCAGGGTCATCAAACTGCAAACCTCAAGAGCCAATGTCATGCAGCTTAGGTCCCTGCTCAACACAGCTGAATCAAGCAGCTGAACATCCACCTCAGCACCCT